TGTCCATTGGCCAAAACAGCTTTATTCATCAACTAATAAGAGAAACATACATTGACAGCACACAGAAGGACATCCCCCATCCCATGTGATAGGGTGTCTATTTTGTAGGGAAGTGTGTGTGTGTGTGTGTGTGTGTGTGTGTCACATGTGTGGGTAATACAAATGTAGGTGCATGTATGTAAGTGTTGGTATTTGTTTTGCTTCCTAAGCTATTTACTATTATCATTAAAGGGCTTTTCTAAAATTGATTTTACTGTCATTTAAGACAGACTCTAATAGTAGGAGTGTCAATCATCTGAAAATCAAGAACTTTCACCTGTAGTAATTAACTCTCCTCAATTCCTTGTTAGTTTTGCATGTTATTTTTGTCTTAATTTGGTCACCACTGTTAGGGAAATAATTAACAGGTCTCTAGGAGCCACAGTGGATTTATTTAAGTATTAGATATATAAAACAATGTTTTTCAAACTCTTGTAAAAAGATTGTGGAGTAGCCAGTCCTGGCGGCCCATGCCTGTCATCTCATCACTCTCGGAGCCAGAAACAGGAGGATTGCCTCGAGCTCCACGCCAGCCTGTGTTGTATGCTGAGCTCCTGGCAAGCCTTCATTACCCAGGAAGTTCCACGCCAATCTGATCTAGGACGTGTCTGAGCGAGGGAGAGGACATAAACCCACCGCATGTGTGACTCTGCTGTGAAGTCTGTCTCTTTGATGATGCAAACCATTGCTTAGTGTACATGTGTGGCGTTTGGGAAAGGGTGGTGTTTCAGTTTCTGTTATAGCTAGCAGAGCCTGCAGCTTCAAGGATATTTGACCACAAGCGGGTTTCTGACCTTCCGGAGAGTGTCACCAAGATGCAGCTGCCGTTTCCTTGGTTACCTCAACACTGGTTCCTTGCCTACCCTGTCTCAAAGGGACCACTTTCTTATTTCACTGTAGAAGAGTGGTGTGTGTGTGTGTGTGTGTGTGTGTGTGTGTGTGTGTGCACGCACATGCTTGTTCCTTTGCCTGTGTGATGAAACGCCACCCTGAGATGCCATACTTTACTTTGGGGATCTTGTCTTTTGACCTGGAGGTCTGTGTGTCCTCCACAGATGTCTCTCTGGGTGTCCATTCCTAGTTTGTCAAACTCTGGTTCTCAGAAATGTCACCCTCGTCTTCTTTTTTTTTTTTTTTTTTTTTTTTTTGCTGCTGCTGACCTTTTTGCTAACCCTACTTTCTTTGGGTTCTCAAGAGCTTAGTTTGGATGTAAAAGAAAATACCATTCCTCCCTCTTTCTGGTCCAGTTTTGATATGAAATGCATTCTAGACGATATGGATGCCAGTTTTGTGCTAGACAGCAAGGACGGCTGGGAAGAGAGCTTTGTAAGAAGGACGGCGTGTTGTCCTAACCGCCCACCGAGCGGTTGGTGAGGTTCCAGGCGTCACCTGCTTCTGGAAGCCCACCTCCGTTATCCCTCCTGCCCCTCTCTGCTTCCCCTCACACACCTCTGATGTTCTCACCCCCTCCCTTTGGGCGACTCTGTCCTGTTCAGCTTCAGAGTATTCCGGGAGCCTTTGGCCTGGGTTCTGCAGACAAGGCTTTGTATTGTACAGAGCAGATGCATTTTTTCCCTGAATCTGTTCCTGTCCTCCACTGCTGTTGCTTCAGATGGGAATGTTCATTGTTGCTGGGTTAGGGACCTCATGGTCTGTCTTTGCTTGCCAATTTTGAATTTAAAAATATATAATGTTGCACAAGACACTGTTGGCGACTGTGTGTGTTTGTGTATGGGGTTTGCATTATGCACATATGTGCATGTTCTCTAACTCCAGGCTCATTTTTGGTATGGACTGAAGCTTAGAGAACTTGACCTGTGAGCTCTCTGGTGACCTGTTTGGAAGGTTAGATCACTCTGGTAAGCTCAGTGATTTGGAACTTCTCTGTGGTGTAGTTCAACCTGCTCTGCCGGTGCCCAGGGTGGGAGCCTGTCCCAAGGCAATGGCCTCTGTGTCTTTCAATTCTGCATTCCTGCTCCTGGGCTGTTGCTCCAGGCCTGACCTCTGCCCAGAGCTTTGACAGCCTGATGCTACAACCTGTTTCTCGGTCTCCTTTATGGTGACGCTGTGGGGATATATAGTTTATGGTTTTTTAAAGCTTACCTGAGGATTCAGAAAGCAAAGTCAGCCACAAGTCATAGAACCCAGGCACACACCTTCAATCCCAGCAGTCAGAAGCTAGGAGGTAGTGGTACGCACCTTTAATCCTAGGACTCAGGATTAAGAGGCAGATGGATCTCTGTGAGTTCAAGGGCCCCCAGGGGTACATGAGGCTGAATCAGTCTAAAAGAGTAACAGAGCTCATCCCTTTAAACCTATCACTAGAGGGGTATAAAAAATAGAAGCAGGGTCTTCATTATTCAGTAGAATGTTTTCACCTTGAGTAGAAGGCATACATTCTCCAGCCACTCCGAGGGGAGTCTGAGTCTTGGTCAGAGCTCATGGAGACAGAACCCCAATATCAGTCTCTGGGCCATTTATATTTTTTTGTGTGTGTGTTACACGACACCAAAAGCTCTGGGTTTCCACGTCTTGACTTTCTTCCCTAGTGTATTTCTGTATCTCACTGTAGCACCCAGCATTGCTCACCTTCCCCTCAATCGTTCTGGACTTGCACTAAGCAGATCTCCAATACCGCCACAAAGTAGCTGAGGCAAACAGCTTACGAGGAGGGAAGCCTTATTTTGATGCATGGTTTCTAAGTGTTGTGGTCGTGGCTTTTATTGTACAACATCATAGCCTTGCAAGGGATGGGGGAGAGCTACCCACCGTGTCATCTAAGGAGCAGGAAAGAGGAAGAAAGGAGAGCCGGGACTTCAACATACTCTTCAAGGGCTCATCCCCAGTGACCCGACTTCCTCCTATATGCCCATAAGGTCCCCTCCCCTTCCCACAGAGTCTCCAGCCTTCAAGCATAAGCTGTGGGAGGACTCTTATGTTTGAAGCCATCATGTGTCCTTACCTCTTCTTCCACCCATTCCTAGTTCCCGTTTGTAAGCCGAGTCACTTTCACCCCCTAGAGCTGCCCGCTGCTCACCAGTTGTTAATATGCCCAAGTGATTACAGAATTATTTAAATTCACTTAGACTTCAAGGAACACCTACAAGTCGCAGCAAGTTTCACGACTCTGGATGGTCATAAAAATCTATATAATTCACTTTTAGTTGAGTATAAAATGTGAGTAAAATAAGACATCATGACCTTAAAAAGCAATTCTAAAGTAATGATTTCAAAAATGATTTGTTCTGGGGCCAGTGGAATGAATATTTAATTGATCAAACTGTCACTTCCCAGGATGTTGACTTGGCTTTATAGGTCTGGATCATTGCTTCAATTTGTGTTGATTCTTTACGGTCCCATTTATATTAAGACTTCATGGAAAACAGGATGATATGTTTACAGCCTTGTAATACCGAAAAAAATACTGACTCTGGAGCTGAACGGTCTCAGTTGTAATTGCTTTTGCCAGTTTCTAACTATGTGATTGGAGACAAGTTCACACTCCCTGTGACTCAGTTACTTCATCTGTAAATGGAAGTGTTACAAGTGTCTACCCCAGGATTTCTGAGTAGGATCTAATGAGATCTTGTACTTAAAAGCCTGGTAGTGGTTTAATCCTAGCGCTCGGGGGAGGCCAGAGGCAGGCGGATCTCTGTGAGTTCGAGACCAGCCTGGTCTACAGAGCGAGTTCCAGGACAGCCTCCAAAGCAATACAGAGAAACCCTGTCTCGAAAAACAAAAAAAAGGCCTGGTATTGGGAGACAGGAGTAGTGGGTTTGTGTGACACAGTGATACCCACCTAGAAGTCCCGGGCACTCAGGGCACAAATAGAACATTTGTACTTGAGAGGTTAAGGGGATCGCAAGGTTTCAGGAGTTACTCAAGTCATCTATGAAAAAGATATTCAAAGGGAGTGTGCATTCTTTATCTACAAAGGGAGAGAAATGCCCTCAGTGTTCAGATGAGAAGGATCACTTCCACTGGCTGACAGAGAGCAGTTACAATGGCTTACAAATAGGGTGGAGAAGCGCTCAGCCGGGATGCACGAGGAGCTGAGTCCAGACACCAGCACTCAGAATGCACTAGGCACCACGGCGCGTGGCAGCCCCAATCCTAGTGCTGCCATGGATACGGTGGATACACAGATTCCCAGCCCGGCCAAATGGGTGAGCTCCACACTTACCGAGAGACCCTGTCTTCACAAATGAGATGGAGGATGATAGAGGTCCACCTGGCCTTTGACACACACACACACACACACACACACACACATACACACACACGAAAAGAAATTATTTGCCATGAGATTGTTGGGTTTTTAATACCCAGTTTCAAATACGGTGAAATTGAAATCTGTGCCCATAAAAACGCCAGTTTTGACCTGGTCCCGTGCAGAAGTACAGGTTTGTAAGAACTGTTGTTGTAGGGCTGGGGTTCCACGCAGTAAGAAAGAGCCGTCTGGACACAGAGCCCTGTTTGTGTGTCTACAGCAGCGTAGCCTTTGTAACGTTTCTACGCGTGTGTAGTTTAAAGGTAACTCAAGGAATTTCATCTTCCTCAATGCCGCTGTCAATGTTACTTCTCTGTGGTACAGCCATGCATTTATTATCCAGCAAATATGAGTAACTGATTCCTTTTTTCTGTTCTCAAGACTGGGTTTCTCTGGCTTCTCTGGCTGTCCTGGCACTCTCTCTGTAGACCAGGCTGGGCTTGACCTCCCAGAGATCCGCCTGCTTCTGCCTCCCGAGGGCTGGGATTAAAGGCGTGCGCCACCAACACACAGCTGAATGGCCAGTTCTTGTGTTTCTCAAATGTAGACATACCTTTCCCGGAATGTGGCTAATTACTGTCAACCCAGGACTACGAATGACACATGCATGAATGGACGGAGGGACTTCGAAGTCTTATCCCAAGAGAAGGGCGCAGAGAGGCGTTAACCATTTAATTCTCTCTCCCTGCAGTTGGCCCGCCACAATAAGCTGCTACAGCAGATGCTGAAACCGGGATCTGACCCTGAAGAAGGAGATGAAGCCTTGAAGTATTACGCCAATCACACCGCGCAGATTGAGGTACTTGCTTGTGACTTTTAGGAAGAATGCGTTTGCTTTCTAGCTGAGGTAATTTCCATAATTTTTCTCAGAACCGTGAAATAATACTTGATGGTTTAAGTGGAAAAGTCTGTGCCACAGCTGATGCCTAAGAGTCGCGTGTGGAAGCTGATGAGTGTCCATCTTGCAAAGTCTTTTCTCTCCCCAGAACTAGTCTGAAATATAGATGGAGTTTTCTGTTCAGCCTGGTCCCACAAGCGTTTAGCCCCCAATCAACACACTGAGGCTTATATTGATTACAAATTGTATGGCCGATGGCTCAAGCTTCTTATTGATTTGATCTCCCTTAATTATTAACCAATTTCTATTAATCTAAGTATTTCCACATGGTCTTGGCTTACCGGAGAATGCCCGGCATCCTGTCTTCCCAGTAGTTACATGGCGTCTCTCTGGTGGCGTCTCTCTGGGTCCTCTGTATTCTCCTCATCTGGTAGCTCTGCCTATACTTCCTGTCCAGCTACTGGCCAATCAGTGTTTTATTCATCAACCAATAAGAGAAACGTATATACACAGCATACAGACAGGACATCCCCCCATAACTGAAGTTTTTGAAATGGAGACTCGATTTTTTTTCTCTCCTCTGGGTCACAGAAGCAGTCGGGGCAGAACAGTGACATGTCAGAGACAACCTAATTACTAGAAAATCTGTCCCTTAAAAATTGTGGGAACTTCTTATATCGAGTTCGTGGTGGGTGGCACCTGTCTTTATTCCCAGAACTTAGGAGACAGAGGCAGGCAGGTCTCTGTGAGTCCCAGACCAGTCTGGGTTAGCAGGTTCTAGGTCAGGCAGAGCTACATAGAGAGACCTTGCTTCAAAAAGAGCAAAGTAAAAGTATACAGAAAACACAGGCAGCACTAGTAGAATTTTTTTCATACTGGTATCATAACACTCAAAGTAGTTAGCTGTTTACACTTTTGATTCTCTGACAGCTACCCTCTTCCCTGCCCCATAAATGAGTCATCGTCTAATGTCTAATGGCAGCTCAGGAGGTGTGCGGAGACCCACCTGGCTGTCATTTCTAGCTGGGGTATCATTTTGTCATTTTGATGCCTCTGGGCAGAACTAATTGGGCAGAAGCAGTTAGGATGGTGGACACTTGTCATTCTCAGTTCAAACAGCCCATTCACTCATTCTGGTAGGTGGTTTTAGTTTTTAGCAGAACCTATCACAAGCGCCGTTGCTCTATGGTGGGTAATTTCTATGCCCTATTGTTTGTTTCTGCCAACTCTTTGAGCGTTAACAAACAACACCACTTCACGTCAAAGGTTCAAAGGTTGGCCTTCTGCTCACATGTGGGAACAGCAACAGAGCCACAGCTTGGCTCAGATTTGCCTGCCACACTAACCCACGTGTTAATGAGAGCAATAGCTCGGCATGATCAGCTTAATAACTCTGGGAAGCGGGAAGGGGCTGAGGCCTAATCACCATTCAAGAAAGAGCCCCCCGCCCATGACCCAAACCTCACTGTCAGCTCCTCCCACGAGTCTCACTGCTTCAGAAGAAAGCGCGTCCAACTTCAATCAGTTGGTCATTGGAAAGATTACGTGTGTCTGTGGAGCACTCACACTAGACCATTGTGATTATCCACCATTTCTGGTGTCTGCTCCCCTCACGGTGGCGCCTTAGGAGTGTGTGTGTGTGTGTGTGTGTGTGTGTGTGTGTGTGTGTGTTTGCATGATTTTGCACATGTATGTGGTCATGTTTGTTTGCACAGGAGGAGGCCCAAGGTTGATATCAAGAATCATCCCCAGTAATCATCCCCAGTTATTCTGCTATTCTTTACTGAGACGGGCTCTGTCATCTGAACCCAGGGCGTACTAATATGGCCCATCCTGCTAGACAGCTTGCTCTGAGGATCCCCTGGCTCTTCCTTCCATGGCTGGAATTACAGGGAGACTGGCACACCCAGCCAGCACTTGGTAGGTCTGTGGAGATCTGAGCTCTGGCCCTCATATTTGCATGGCAAGTGCTTTAACCAGCAAGCCATCTCTTCAGCCCTTGGCGCTAACATGGTCATCTCCTCAGCCCTTGGCGCTAACATAGCCATCTCCTCAGCCCTTGGTGCTAACATGGCCATTTCCTCAACCCTTGGCGCTAACATAGTCATCTCCTCAGCCCTTGGGGATCCTCTTGTTTTCTTCACTTTCAGTACCACAGTGCTGCTAGCTTATGCCTGAAGTGAGCATTCATTAAATAATCTGGGGAAAATTAACCATATTTGGCTTTCTTCGGTTAATGCATTTCCTTCAGCAGTTTCTCTGGTTTGTCATTGCCCTTTGTAAAATGTTGACAACCAGAACTAAACATGTCATTTTATTCAGGGACTGAATATTTTGGCTTATCTAATCAAGGCTTATTTTCTTTAGTAAGCCCTAACAATTAAAAAGAAAAAAGAAAAAAGACACCTGACACTCTTAAAATTCTTTTCACGTGGTTGCCTGTCATGCCAAATATAGCTAAGTAGTTTGTACAATTCGTATTCTACTGTCTTTAAGTCGGCACACAGAGGGGCTGGAGAGATTATCCGGGATTAAGAGCTCCGCCTGCCATGGCAGAGGCCTGTATTCTGGTCCCAGCACCCATGGGGCCGCTCACTTCCACCCACAGCTCCAGTTCCAGGATCCAAACCAACTTAGAGAAGGGAGATTTACTTTTGGCCTAAGGTTCCAGAGGGAGAGCCCATAAGTCAGGGAAGGCATGGCCCTATGCAGGAGCATGATGCTGGCTGGTCATATTTTATTCCTGTGCAGGACCGTAGGGGAGAGAAAGCAAGACTATAAGCCCTCAAGGCACCCCTCCCCCCCCCCGTGACACCCTTCTCCAGCACGGCTGCCCCTCCTGAAGGTTCCCTGACCTCCCCAAACTCTGCCACCAGCTGGGTGGGGAGCAAGTGTTCAAGCCCACAAGCCCACGAGGGACTTTTCTCATTCAAAATACCAAACTGTAGTGGGACAACACTTGAAAGTGAAGACACCTCTCTGAATACGGAGAACTCAGGATGCACAATCGCCTCTTTCCCAGAGCCCCTCTTAGGAAGAACAGGGCACAAATGCTTACGTACTAGGTTCAAGGTCACCCAGCGGGCTTATCTTTTTCATAACTGGGTTCATAAAATGTCACTCATAAATCCATTGTTCTAGTTTCACGCCTGTTCCCATGATAAAACAGTCTTGCCAAAACCAACCTGGGGAGGAAAGGATTTATCTGGTCTATAGCTACATGGGAGACATTACGGTGGGACCCTGAACTAGAGACAGAGGAAGGATGCTGTAAGAATGCTGCGTGCTGGCTCACCCGGGCCTGTGCGTAGCTAGTGTTCCTACAAATTCCAGGACCACACGCCTGCGGATGGTGCTGGCTTGATCCGCTGTGTCAATCAATAATAAAGATGCCCACAGACCAATCAGATCGCGGGGCTTCCTCAACAGAGCCTCTTTCCAGATGACTCTGAGTTGTGTCAGGTTGGCAGTGAGAGCTAGGGAAATCCACTAGTGACCCCACTAGGCACTTCTGGGTAGCTCAGAACTAGAAGTCACACAGATGGTCCTCATCAAAAATCTGTGGGGGGATGGGAAACCAACCAAATCCAGGAAGTAAGGGAAACAGGAAAGAGATCTACAAGGAAGAAACAGGCATCAGGGGCGGGTGGGGAATAGCGGGATGCCCGGTGATGGTAGCCAAGTGTATTACACACTTGCGGGGAATCGCCAAAGCACAAAGCGTGTCAATTAAGACGGGGAAGTTAGAGGTGGAGGCCAAGACTGAGGTGAGCACATGGCTGAGAGCGAATGCCAATCGTTTCCAGATCGTGCGGCACGACAGGACCATGGAGCAGATCGTCTTCCCTGTCCCCAATATCTGCGAGTTCCTCACTCGGGAATCCAAGTCCCGAGTATTCAACACAACGGAGAGAGATGAGCAGGGGAGCAAGGTGAACGACTTCTTCCAGCAAGCGGAGGACCTCTACAACGAGATGAGGTGGCAGAGGAAGATCAGAAGTGAGTGTGGCGGGCAGAGGCGCGCTGGCCCAGCTGACTTAAGCAAGGTTTGAGTTTCCTGTCAGCCCAGTGTCCCTGAAGGCACCTGCAGGAATGGAGAGTGTAGGCCCTGCTGTCAGCGGAGCCGAGCCGTCTGCTGCTCAGTGGACGTAGACATCCCAGGTTCATGAGATGGCCTGCAGCCTCTGAGCATGCTTGCCAGCGTGTTATGTAACTGCAAGGCTGCAGCTGAGTTTGTTGCACGGCTGGACGGCTGCAGGGGTGAAGCCCTGCGCTGACCCCCCTTGCCCTCAACACTCAGTGTATGGTGTAGGGGGCAATATTCTCACCAGTGCCTCTTAGCCGGTGTCCTATGGTCAGGTAGGGCTCCTCTCTCCCCTCTCCCCTCCCCCTCTCCCCTCCCCTTCCTCCCCCTCCATCTGTAACTCTGTACATGTTTAGACAGGGTCTCGCAGCTCAGCGAGTCCTCAAAGTCACCGCGTAGCCATAGATGACTGAGTCCCTGATCTTCCTGCCTCCACCTCTCAAGCATTACTTAAGAGTTTTTCTGGGAGCCATTCTTTCTTCTAACTCCCCCCCCCACACACACACTCCATCTACATCCACCAAGCAAAGCATTTCCAAACACCTGTCATCAGAGAGAGTCATGTGACATTGCAGTCGAAGCCATCACCACACAGCTCTGTTTGCAACCTAACGTGTAGCCTAACTCTCCTGTGTATTCGGAAACGCCGAGTTTGAACTATTTTTTAATCTTAATTTTCAAATCATTTTAACGAGGCTGTGGGGATGGCCTAGAAGTCAGGAGCACGTGTTGCTCTTGCAGAGGACCTGGGTTGATTCCCAGCACCGGGGCGGCAGCTCATAATTATCCTGAACTCCAGTTTCAGGGTTCTGATTCCCTCTTCTGGCCTCCAGGGCACCAAGTGCACACATGGCCCACAAGACGTTCATGCGAGCAGGACACTCATGCACGTAAAGCTAAAGCCTTAATCTGAAAAATCATTTCATTGTTTTCTAAGATGACAGAAGTTGAGTGGGGGGATTGAGGGCCTCTTGAGATTAGATCTTCGTTGTCTTTGGAGACTTTCCTAGAGAGGTGAGTGTGTGTGTTACCCGTTCTCCACCATTCAGTTTTCTAGGCTCTGAGAGAGATTAGGAGTGTGACCGGAACTGGTCAAAGGCTCCTTTGGGTCTAAGATAATGTCACGCAGGTTTAGTTTTCTACAACACCATTGCTCTTTAGGATTTTGCCACATAGAACTCAGCAAAAAAAAGGGGGGGGCATCTAATACACATGGATTATTCAAAAATTTTATTGGAGATATTTGAAAAGGGTCGATTTTTCTTCAAGTAAAATTAATTGAATAGCAAACTCGAATTAATTCAACGTTAATTTACTAACAAACTGGGACTCTGTGTTTTATGACAAATACTTTTTAATAAAAAAAAATAAGTCTTAAGGTAATTCCCAGTGAACATTGTACAGAAGAAAGGTGTAGGCAGAGTCTAAATGGTTTTGTGGGCTGGTAAAAAGGAAAGAGTGACGGTGGCGTGGATGTCTCGGTTCCTGATCCGTTTCCCAGGGAGATATCATTCTGTCACAGCCTCTCTCACCGTGGAATGTCCTCTCCAAGATGAGGAAAATGAGCTGAGCTCAGGAGGAGACAGTTTCTTAGTCAACAGCCCAGACTGGGGTTTGCGCTGGATCCAAAAAGTGCACGATTTTCCCTTTTATATGCCTCACCCCACTGACTCTGATGTTTTATCTTCAAGGTTTTAATTCTAATTTTAATTATGCTTATTGTGGGCCTGTGCACGTGTGTGTGGTGCCTGCGGGAGCCAGGAGAGGGTGTCATATCCCATGGGTCTGGGGTTACAGGCAATTGTTACCTAGTTACAAGTTCAATAATAGACAAGACCCAGAGGAGCCCCTAGGTGCCTGGAGTAGGCTGACAATTTAGCTCCTCCAACGCCCCTCCCCCCCACCCCCAGCACTACTTACCTGCTCAGTTATTAGGAGTGGAAAGAACTGAGTTTCTGGTAAACACTGTTTAGTAGATCCGTTCATTAACTCATTTCTGATGACAGACACATGATTCCCTTTTCTAGAAATTCCCATTTTCTCAGATGCCGAGATTTCAGGACTGAGAAACCAAGCTGGCTCGAGTATGTTACATTTCTCTAGCTCCCATACATGCTGTGCTGTGGCCATGAGACTCAGGTTATAAGGTAACTGACTGTGATGAGCATTTCCTCTGAGTCTGCAGTCCTGGCTCTTACGACTTTATGTCATAAGGAGAAGATCAGTTTACCTATCAGGATTACCAAGGCCTGCAGCACATATGTGCCTATGCCCTTCAGTAAAAGGTTCCCAGACCAACTAGCTGCCTTCCCCCCCTTAGTCTGCAGGGGCCGGATGCAAGGGATTTACTGCCAAATCACCTTTGCTCACACTTTATTTATTTAAATTAGAAACAAGCTCGATTCACGTGTCAGTTCCAGCTCCCTCTCCCTCCCCTCCTCCCCCGCCATCCCCATCAGGCTCCCCAGCCCTCACCCAATCCCCACTCTGATCCCCAGGGAAGGTGAGGCCCTCCATGGTGGATCTCCAGAGTCTGTCATTTCATCCAGGGCAGGGTCTAGGCCCTCCCCCAAGAGTCCAGGCTGAGAGAGCATTCCTCATTGTGAGATGGGCACTCTAAGTCTATTTGTACTCCAGGGATAAATACTACCCAAGGCCCCGGAGATTGCCGAGGCTTCCTAACTGACGCCCACATTCAGGGGGTCTGAGTCAGTCCCATGCTGGCCTCCCAGCCATCCCTCTGGGGTCCAAGAGCTCCCCCCTTATTCAGGTCAGCTGTCTCTGTGCCCACACTCTTGAAGGATGGAAAAGGAACCAACTAGAAAAATGCCTTTGCCATCTACAGTCTTACAATAAGCTTCCTAAAGTTAGACGCAGTCGCTTCAGATGCACGCCGGTGACGACAGTTCACGGACACGCTGCGCGCACACTATTAGCTTAGCGCGGCACAGGTGACAGTTCACGCACACGCTGGGCACACACCCTTAGCTTAGCAGGGCCCCTGCTGGCTGCAGCGCATACTGACCATCCTCACCCTTGTACTTGCTTCCTAGACAACCCCGCCCTGTTCTGGTTCTCCAGGCACATCTCCCTCTGGGGGAGCATCTCCTTCAACCTGGCCGTGTTCATCAACCTGGCGGTGGCTCTCTTCTACCCATTCGGGGATGACGGCGATGAAGGCAAGTGCTTGTGTCTCTGCGGATAACGGCTGCCTGGAAAGTCCCAAGTCACGCTCACTGGGCCCTCTTCAGCTTTAAAACAGAGAAGCTTAGTTCTCGTTAAATGTTGTTTTTCTGTACTTATTGCAAGCACAGAGATACTAAATGGCCTTTAGAAGTGCTGTTTTATGGAAAGCTCATCTGCAGCATAACTATTATTAGGGTTAAGTGTTGGAAAATGAAATGGCATGATTGCATTTCAACCTGGTTAGTGTGTGATGATGTCTTATCTCAGTTATGTGAGAGTCTTAACGTCCAAGCATTTTGATGAAGTAATGAGTTACATTTTACTTTCCGTCTTGTCTAAGGGTTTTGATTCTATACTACTGTGCATTTATGATACATGAATATTAGTCTTCTAAATACACAGCATGAGACAGACTTAATGATGGACAAGAGAGGATGTTGACTATTAAATCTGTGTCATTAAATTAGTAATGCATGAGCTTTTACAAAGGCAAAGAAGGGAAGGAAATTCCATAGAAATCAGGTGGGGCTTTCAGAAACATTCTGTTTAGGTTTGACGGATTGCTTTGGAGAGATCTGTTACAGGTGTGGAGTTCACTTGGGAGAGTAACTTTAGAATGGGTTGGAGACAAGGATGAGAGAAATCAGCAAATAATAACCCGGGAGCGTCCTCAGAGCACATCTGTTCGTGCGGTGTTAGGTTAATGAGATGCTGTCAACAGAGCACGGAGAATGATGTCCTGACTGTCTGGCAAGGAGTAGTTGTTACGAGGCAAATATCATCACTGCCATCCTGGGGGAGACAGGAGAGAAGGTGCCATAACAGCAGTAGATATGCAAGCACATTTCAGGTGGGCCGGAGTGAGGAGGAGCGATTGGAGCCCAAAAGAAACTTCCTATTTTCCAGCCTCCGCATCAGGTCCCACAGGTGCCAACGTCTCCATCTTGGCTGCAGGTTTTGCTGCGTAAGTAGAGCTCGCTGGGCTACAGAAAGCACATCTGAGACTGGGCGTCTCAGACAGTAGAGCAGGTGAGTGGCTGCAGAGCAGGAAATAGGCATCAAGCAGGCGTCCGCCTACCAGGCTAGCAGAAGAAAGGCAGCAAAAAAAAAAAAAAAAAGTGTTTGCGCACCGCACAGGTGGAAGCTGGAACAGCCTCCTCTCCCCTGGGTCCGGGCTTCTCTGGTGATGAGATCTTGAGTCAGAGGGACACAGCTCTTGAGAGGAGAAGCCCCACCATAAAATGACAAATTTTATGTCAACTGCACTCAGACCACCGAGGATACAGGACAGAGTCCCAGGAAAGAGAGGCATGGAATCTTTGAGATGGAAGCAGACCTTGAAATTGCCTAACACCGAGCTTTCATTTGACTGGCAAGGCAAGGAAAACCCAGGGGAGCAAGCCCTTCAGCCTCTAAATGAAGCAGATCTAACAAACACAAGGCCGCCGGCCGGGAAGCACAGAGCTCTGGGCTTTGTGGAGCCTGTTGCCTGTGTACAGATGCAACCATCTCTCTTGAAAGGGGTTTCTGAGTCAACAGCAGTAGCAAGAGGGACCCTCAGTCTTAGGATGTGAGAGTGTGGCTTTTCAGAAGGAGGGGAAAGCATGAGAATCTGGGGAGCGTAGGACCCCATCATGAGCCTGAGTCGTATGATTACGGTCTGGGTGGGTTATCTCACAACAACTTTATGAGCAAGATTAAAGTCTTGGTGGAGGTTGGCACAGTCTCTTTCTCAAGCTTATCGAAGACAAAGATTAGGAACTGTTCAAACTAAAGGACAGACGGACAGGATAGATGACAGTATTGTTCCTTACGCTGACTATCACAGTTGTCATCATGCAACGTATTGAAATTTGGGTCTAGATGAAGGGTCTTCAGGGTGGCTTTCCCACTACTTTTGCAGCTATTGCTTAAGTCTTAAGGAGCTTTGGTGTAAAATTAAAAAAAAAAGCAAGGTTCTACCTATTCCTATGGAGGCATCATTTGGGGCAGGGAAGGCAATTATGAAGTCACCTAGAAAACCTGGGCTACAAATGGACCTCTGTTAACATGGGGCATGCCTTCCCACCCTGGGCACTACTGCAAGCTGCTTTAGAGTCACAGAGCCATCATGGCTAGGGGCCAGCAGAGGCATGGGCGGGTCGTCCTCCAGTCCCAGTGAATGGCGAGGTGTCACCCAGGCTCTTGGAAGTGTCTTGAGCTTCATTGTCTCGTTCACATGTGGGTCACAATGTTAGTTTAGAAAATAGTGACCTTTGTCTACAATGATGGCACAAAGGGATTCGAGGGAGATGTCGCCTCTCAGATAAACACCCCAAGGCACCCTCCACCTGGACTGCAGACGGAGACTCCCCTTTAGCTGTCAGGATTATGAGGAATCTGTTGATGCTAGGGCCATCTCCAGCCACTCCAACTGACCCGCCCTGGGAGACTAGTCAGTGGAGAACTTTTTTTTTAATCCCAAGATAGAATTATCATTTTTAAATCTAGAAGGAGGGTTTTTTCCCTTCACATATTAATTGTAATTCTTCCTCACAAACATTTTGGGCTTAGGAAACTAAGATTCTTTCGGGTGACTTCAATCCTCTGGGTTCCATAAGCATTTATGGGTACCATTGGGTACTAGGTACCATGCTAGGCTGAGAGATGCTAAGATTAGTAAAGCTGTTTTGTCCTTAAGGATCTTGTGGTCTAGTTGAGGACCAAGTAATGAGAAAGGCAGGAGGCCAAGGACCACCAGTGGGTTTATGGATAGACGCTGACTTTATTTGGACCCGGGTGTAGGAGGAATGAGTCTAATGAGCCCGGACTTGGGGAAGGCTGAGGAGTTAGAAGGAGCTGTGTTTGGCAGGAAGCCATGGACAAATCAGCCTGAGGCAGGGTTCCAAGACAAGAGTGGAACTGAAGTCCAGTTTGATTCTGAATTTTCTTTTATAGAGGACCAACTTGTAACATCTTGGAAAGTATAGAGAAACTCCTAAAAATACCTTCCCATTAAATATAATTTATGGAAAATTAATAGAAATATGCAAAATATTAAGGGAAAGAGTTCCCACTTGGTGGGTAAAGATTGGTACTAGTGCTTTGTAGTGCTTTGGTTTTGGTTATTTGTTTGTTTGAGAGACAGTGTCTCACTGAGTCGCCCAGGTTGGCCTAGAATTCACTATGTAGTGTAGGCCAGCCTCAAAATCACAGCAGTCCTCAGCTTCCTAAGTGTTTGGATACAGGCATGAGTCACCATACTCCACTGACATTGGCTTTGAAAAATCTTAGCGCCTGTCTCTAGAGTGTCAGAGAGTTTTATTTTATTTTTCCAAAGCATAAATCCTCAGGTCAGAACTAACCCGATGGTTCTCACCGATGGCCACAGAATCCATGCTTAATTAACCACATTAAATAACTGTTCATCGTATTTTCTTATTCCACACAGATGTACTCAGCAGCAAGCTGTGTGCAAGGTTCTGTGCTAGACACATCCATAAGTACTTGTAGACATTGATAAAACACCCAGTTTCAGGTGCATGGCTACACCTTCTTGTATATCGAGGGGAGAGCCCAGCAAGCCCCACACACTTCTGGGGCAGAGTTAAGGTGTGGTTAAGTCATCTGGCACTGGTGATAATATGCAGAATAAGCATTTTTGTCAAGTCTCAGAATATCTTACCAGACTTTATTTATGAGTTAGCCTGACGAGTCACATGATAGGAAGAACACTGTCAAATTCTCCCTGAAGATGTCAATTTTAATGCATTCTTAAAAGAAAAATTGGGGGATGCTGGAGAAACATCTTAGCATGATTTGCTCTGTTGTCTGAGCAGAGTTTGGGTCTTAGCACTCATATAAGGTGGTATACAAATGCCTATGACTCCAGCCTCAAGGGATTTAGGACCCTCTTCTGGCCTCCCTGGGCATACACACACACACACACACACACACACACACACACACACAGAACACACATTAAATAGAATAAAATATTTTTTAAAAGAACAAAGCCATAGACTTAGGAAATGGCTTGCTCAGCAGAGTGACGGCCACACAAGCCCGAGGACCTGACTGTGGATGTCCAGAGCCCACGTAGAAAGCCAGGTGCAGCCACACCACCTGGGGATTAATACATATTTAGTGGCTTGCTCAGGATGAGCATATTTTGTCTCCTTGATAAACCAGTATTTATATATTGCTGTAAGACACACTGTGGCAGGATAGGACTACCTTGCATGCACCCTTATAGAGTTTGTGTTTTCATGGAGACCTGGGAGTCAACACACGTGGGACATTAAAGGCACTTTCCCTGACTGCTCTGGGAGAGCCGTCCAATCAAGGTGACTGGGCTTGCTTTTGCTTGGTAGAGCACATATAAGCCAGTATCAAAGTACACATAAGGAGGCTAGCCGTTCTGTCGATGAAGAAGGTGAGCTCTTTCTTTCTAATCTTTTAAAAATCATTTGAAGTTTACTTATTTAATATGTGTGGGTGTATGTATGCATGTATGTCCATGTACCATGTGCATAGTTGGTGCCTGTGGAGGCCACAAGAAGGTGTTAGATTCCCTAGGACTAGAGTTACAGACAGTTGTGAGCCACTATTGGATTGCTGGGAACTGAACCCAGGTCCTCTGGGAGAGCAGCAAGTGCCCTTAACTGCTGAGCCAGCGTTCCAGCTCCATTAACTTTCTTCTAACCGCTGTTTGTTTGGAAGCTGTTTTAGCAACACTTTTGTTGCTAAAATACCCGATTCTGGGCATTTCATAAGGCAAATGTTTATTTAGTTGACTGTTTTGGAAACTGGAAGTCCATGACTGGGTATCCTCATCTGTCCAGTCCAGGAGGGGACCCTCCTTGGTCATAATCACAGTTTTACAGAGAAGCAGAAAGGGATGGGGCCGTGTGAGCAGGGGATACACACTTTGCAACACGCTCTCATGGGAGCGCCTGGTGCCTGCCCTGACAGTGTTAATCCCTTACAAAGACAGAACTCTGTAACCTGACTTCCCTGCTGCAGGTACCATATCTTAAAAGACTCCATTGCCTTATTCATATTTCACAAGGACCACGCTTGAAGTCTGGAGCCTTTGGGAAAACAGCCGCACCAGGATCGAAGTACATCCAAATTAGTGTTTCTCGTGGATTGTTTGATGGTAGTTTAAATGTTTGACAAATTACAAAAATCTTTGTAATTTTTAGATGCATTGGCCCTGAATGGACACAACATTTATTAGAGGGTGTGTATGGGTCACCTCAGGGTTTTGAAGCAGATCCAAAGCTTTTCTCGTGAAAGCACTCAAGATGTCAGAAGTCAGTTTTAGGGTAGAAAGACGTGGCTGAAAGAATAAGCATTCTTACGGGGTTTGGCACAGGAAGCTGAGGAGAAATCTCCTGGTTGTTTTTTTGTTTTCTTGAGGTCCTGGTGCCCTTCAGTAGAGGCAATAACGTGGTGCCTGGAGTTCCTTCTGCAGTGCAGCACACGGCACGCTTGAGAAGGGGCACCCTCGGTTACCCCCATCTGTACACACGCCGTAGAATTGCGCTTCTGTTTTCAAGGGAAAATTTTAAAACCTCCCTTGTGAGAAATTTCTAAGGAACTTGTTTTTTAACAGTTTATTTAAAAAATCATTGGAGATTTTTCTTATGCATCTGCGTGTGTGAATGTGTGTGCATGGCTGTGTGTGTGCATGTGTGTGCATGGCTGCGTGTGTGCATGTGTGTGCTTGTGTGCATGGCTGTGTGTGCATGTGTGTGCATGGCTGTGCGTGTGCATGTGTGTGCATGACTGCATGTGTGTGCATGACTGCATGTGTGCATGTGTGTGCATGGCTGTGCGTGTGCATGTGTGTGCATGGCTGCGTGTGTGCATGTGTGTGCATGGCTGTGTGTGTGTGCATGTGTGTGCATGACTGCATGTGTGCATGTGTGTGCATGGCTGTGTGTGTGCATGTGTGTGCATGGCTGTGTGTGTGTGCATGTGTGTGCATGACTGCATGTGTGCATGTGTGTGCATGGCTGCATGTGTGCATGTGTGTGCATGGCTGTGTGTGTGCATGTGTGTGCATGACTGCATGTGTGCATGTGTGTGCATGGCTGCATGTGTGCATGTGTGTGCATGGCTGTGTATGTGCATGTGTGTGCATGACTGCATGTGTACATGAGTGTGCATGACTGCGTGTGTGCATGTGTGTGCATGACTGCGCGTGTGCATGAGTGTGCATGACTGCATGTGTGTGCATGGCTGCATGTGTGCATGTGTGTGCATGACTACATGTGTGCATGTGTGTGCATGACTACATGTGTGCATGTGTGTGCATGTGTGTGCATGACTGCATGTGTGCATGTGTGTGCATGGCTGTGTGTGTGCATGTGTGTGCATGACTGCGTGTGTGCATGTGTGTGCATGACTGCGTGTGTGCATGTGTGTGCATGGCTGTGTGTGTGCATGTGTGTGCATGGCTGCGTGTGTGCATGTGTGTGCATGGCTGCGTGTGTGCATGTGTGTGCATGGCTGTGTGTGTGCATGTGTGTGCATGGCTGCGTGTGTACATGCGTGTGCATGGCTGTGTGTGCATGTGTGTGCATGGCTGCGTGTGTGCATGTGTGTGCATGGCTGCGTGTGTGCATGTGTGTGCATGGCTGCATGTGTGTGCATGGCTGTGTGTGTGCATGTGGACGTGCATATATCAAAAGCATTTCACAAACCACTCCCGTAGGAGAGAAAGCAAAGTTCTCAGACTTGATGTGAAGAATGGTGACTGCACTCAGACTTTCTTGTTGGGACTTCCAGCTCCTCAGTGACACTGAGACTTACTAGTCAAGAGAGCTTGGCCTTTATCTTGGGGGCTTGTTCTGAACTAGCTCTTATAACTCAAAACAACCTGCTTCTGTTAATATATGTCCCGCCATGTGGCTTTTACCCCTCCCATTTGTATGTCCAACTTCTTCTGCATCTCACTGGTGTCTCTGCCTCTCTTCTTCTTCTTCTCCTTCTCCTTCTCCTTCTCCTTCTTCTTCTTTTGAGGCATGGTTTCTCTGTATTTTTTGGAGGCTGTCCTGGAACTCGCTCTGTAGACCAGGCTGGCCTCAAACTCACAGAGATCCGCCTGCCTCTGCCTCTGGAGTGCTGGGATTAAAGGTGTGTGCCACCAACGCCCGGCCTTCTGCCTCTCTTCCCAGAGTTCCTCTCTCTGCCTGGAAGTCCCACCTGTCCTTGCCTGCCTAGCTATTGGCCATTCAGCTCTTTATTAAACCAATCAGAAGGCATCTTAGGCAGAAACACATCTTCACAGTGTACAAAAAGATGACCCCACAGCTGTTGACTATCCTGAAATCGATGCACAGGTCTTCTGGAAGCATAATGAAGAGCAATGCATTCTAAAACGTTTCCAGTGGCAGAACGTTGACTGGGTTGTTCTGGGATTTGTACACCACAGCTTTGTTTGCATATGAAGCACAGAAGCCAAAATTTTGGTGTTTTCTGCCTGTGTCCTTGGTGACAAGTAACCCCTGCACCTTTTCCAGGTACGCTTTCCCCGTTGTTCTCGGCCCTCCTCTGGGTAGCAGTGGCGGTCTGCACATCTATGCTGTTTTTCTTCTCCAAGCCTGTGGGTATCCGGCCATTTCTTGTGTCTATCATGCTCAGGTCAATATACACCATCGGTCTGGGCCCAACGCTAATACTTCTTGGTGCTGCTAATGTAAGTACACGGCTTAACTTTGTATCCTATGGAATTCAGATGTAGTAAGTGTAAATATAGTCAGCTATATACTTTCATTTGTGTGTATCCAGCGAATTCTGGTTTGATATGTATTTATGTTAACTAAAGTATCACTTTTATGTGCTTTAATTTAGAGAGAGAGAGAACAAAAAGACGAGTAACACATTGATAGATTTAAGTAGCCCTTACAGTGTGACCCAGTTCCACTGTCCCTTTCATCGGGTTTAATGTCCTCTCTGTACCATGTCTGCCATTACTGAAAAAAATGGCCCAGCTACTGCTAACACCTGAAAGTGGGTTCTAAGTCATCCCAAAAGATTAAATTATGTTAGGTAGAATTTAAGAAATACCTCCTATCAAATGGCTTGGTTGGGGGAGAAAAGGCTGCTAGGCAAAAAAAATGAGGTCCAAAATTGGGTTCCTTTTATATGAGGAAATCATATAAACTTATAAAAGGCATGGATGAAGATTTTCTTCACCAAACGTTAGTATATTAGTACAAGAAAATGCCTTTTTGAAAAAGTGTAGAATGAACAAACTGGAAGTATCATGCCAAGAAGCAAATGAAAGATTTGTAGATATAATTTAAACAAAAAAATAATAATAAAGCTTTGAATGGATTCGGTGCCAATTTCAGGCAAGGGATATCTGTAAGTGGATATGAAGAAAAGGTAAATCATCAAACTGATGAAATAACAAATGGTCAGAAACCACATGAATGTTATTGTAGCTACATAATTAATACCTAAAGCACTTCCTGTAACTTTTATTGGGTTCCTAACTCAGTGTTCTATACTCTGTTGTCTTCGTTGGGATTATCTCCTATACTAACTTATATAGTTATTAAGGATTAGTAACTGATTGTTACATACCTGGGACATCACAGGGAGTATATAAATATTTTGGAATAAATAACTAATGACTGAGTGAGTGGATGTGTGACCAATGTGTACTGAAAATAAATGAGTTAACCAACTTTTGAGGATTACCAAGATGAGACAATATAATCAATTGTACATTTTCAGTGTTTTTGACCTTGATTTTATCACAACTCTTCAATGTTATAGTCCACAGCCCCAAGTTGTTAGAATATTAAAAAAAAATTCTCAGTTACCACCAGTGAAGAAAGTGTAAGCAGAGGGTTTCGAATGTTACCAAATGCACCCTTCTCTGGGTTTCTTTTTTATTATTATTTATTTTTAAATTTAAATTAGAAACAAGGTTGCTTCACAAGTCAGTTCCAGGTCCCTCTCCGCTTTTCTCCCCTCCTCCTGTGTCCTGCCCCCAATCCCCCCAATATCCCCTCATTTCCCCAGGGAGGGTGAGGCCCTCCTTGGGGGTGTCCATAGTCTGTCATTTCATCCAGGGCAGGGCCTAGACTCTCCCCCCAAGAGTTCAGGGTGAGAGTGCATCTCACATTGTTGGATGGGACTCCAAAGTCCATTTGTATATTCGGGATAAAGACTGATCTACTGCCCATGACTCAATAGATTACCACTACGGCCATACCACCCTGAACGCAACCAATCTCGTCTGGGTTTCTTAGGGACTGAACTATCACATTAATGCATGAACCTGGTCCTTGTTCATTCCCTTTCCTGTGTAATCTGGTCCTTATTCTTCCCTGTCTCAGTGGTGCTGTTCAATTCATTTCTTCTGGCTCAATCCATCTCCCTCCATCCCATCCTTGATGTTTGAACATTCAGAGGTGATTTTGCAACCCAAGCTCGTATTGTCTTTGCTTTGAAAATAAGCTGACATCATCATATCATCAACCAAGATGATTATAGAATCATCGTGAAGTGCATAGACGTGTCTATACCTCTGTGTTTGTCTATTTCCGTGTCTCTAGAAAACATGCTCAGCATGAAACTGTATTATTTGGGGGAAGTAGATGTTATTCATAAACTGATCATTGACTGAATGAGAAAAGTCTAAGTTTAAGAAAGTGAAGAATGGCCAAGCAGAGTTGTGCCCAAAAATAACAACCCTCTGCACCTGTTATATAATATGATGGGCACTTAGAACACCCAGAGGTAGGTGATGGGCAGCTTTCCATCTAGAATTTATGTGCCTTTTTGTGTCTCTTTCTTTCTGTTTCCTTTTTAATCTCTGGACCAAGACTATGTAGACAGAGGTAAGGAAAACATTTGAATGTTTGGGATGGGCATGAACCAAAAACATCTGGTATTCTTTTCCTGTCCCTTGTAGGACACTGTAAAGTGATAACTTCCACATGCTTTGGTAAAAATCATCTCACCATGAAAAATAATCTCTAGCAAAGCCAAGTTTTTATTTAACTGCTTCACAAGAAAGTATTATGCATGTAGACATGTTTGTATTGCTAACCCCATGAAATTTCCAGTATTCCAACAGCATAAAACATGTTACTCAACTAGACACTACCACCAACCTGGGGTCATCTGACTGAAGAAAATAATCTATGTTGATTTGAGGCAAATTTAATGAACTTTCTATGATTTGATACTACTTCAGATGTTAATAGAAAAGTTATATTTATAATATAAAGTTGTATTTGCTATCAATAGATTAATAAAATTACTCTAGTGAGTTACTATATACTTTCTCTCTTCACATAAATTCATTACACAAGTATCTTGGTTTATCTTTACTTATAAAACAGGAAAAGTAAAGTAAAACATGAATTCTATACTAATTAAACTTAGAATTTAATTAAATATTATTAATAATATAAATATGTTAATTTAATTTGTATGTAGACATTTGCACTGTATAGCAATGTGAGGCTGTCATTGCTGAAGTAATAGATATCAGAATAGAAAAACCAGAAGAACACATTAGCCTGACAGTTTAGCCATAACAAGAGGCAGAATTTGAGACTTCAAATATAAATTAGCCAATCTCTGATTTCATCTTTCTTGTCAGTTGGAGTAAGGTATGGACAACTGGTCTACCCTCATCTGGCTGCTGAGATCTGTTGAGAATCTTGGTATGGAAGATCCAGAAAAGAACAGTAACTGCTATATTGATACACTGGTGATAACATTTACCATTCACCAAGTATCCCCTGTGCAGACCATTAATTAACCAATCAGAAAGTGTTGCCACCAGGATTGTCTACATCTTAGCTCACACAGTAACTTGTCTCAAGACTCTGGCCTTCATAATGTTAAACAAACATGAAAAGTCTCTTTTACAAGAAAGGAAACATAATAGAAGGGATACCTAAGAATTTACCAGTTTCTAGTTTATTATGCTAAAAATAAATTCATTTGTAAAGTTTGAAGTTTGTCTACATTTCAGGTAGATTTTCCTATCACAATTGTCTCAGAAAACTCAGTAATTTTGAGTACTGCAAAATACATCTTACACAGTTTTCCTCTCATGCACAGCGTGGCCTCTTTAGCTAATTTTGGCATAAACTAACTTTCTGAGAGATACACTAAGGATGACTTAATGTTTGTTCATATTACTGAACACTCTTGCAAACCTCATTTATACAGATGTAGTGTTTCCTTTTTTTAAAAAAAGAGATTTCTGATTCATTAGATGGATGCTATATCCTCATTAATCACTCCTATTTATCTGTGTGCCTTAGATTATTTGTAATAAAGAAGAACATAGTAAATTATCAGTAAAGATTTTCCTTCTGATGCTAGGAACTGAACCCTGAACCTCACACATACTAGGCAAGTGTTCTACCACTGAGCCACACTCCAATACCCACAGTGAAATACCTTTTAACGTTTTTCTTAAAGATGTCTACTTCCACTATTGTCTTGGTTAGGATTTTATTGCTGTGAGGAGACACCATGGCCACAGCAGCTCTTACAAAGGAAAATATTTAATTGGGGCTGGCTTACAGCTCAGAGGTTGAGTTCTTTATTGTTGTGGCAGGAAGCCTGGCAGTGTGCAGACAGACATGGTGCTGGAGAAGTAGCTGAGAGTGACTGTCATACTACACCTGGCTTGAGCATTTGAGACCTCAAAGCAAAACCCCCTAGTGACAAGCTTCCTTCAACAAAGCCACACCTACTCCAACAAGGCCATTCCTCCATGCCCTGTGAGCCTATGGGGAGGCTATTTTTATTCAAATCACCACACTCTTTCCCCTTCTAATAATGGCTGGGAATCTGTGATTCCCCTTAATGGTGCTAGCCTTCCTCATGGATATTTTAACGTGAAATGATAGACTTTCTTCTCCCCACTTTGCACAAAGAAAAAGCAAATAAGGCTTTAGTATCCAGCCAGGCTATTAACATTTGCCATAGGCTCAGTGGAATGGGTGGCGTTCTCAGTGGTGTGTATGTAGTTAATCTGTGGGACTGCGTCCTGCCACACAGCCACTAAACACACAAGTTCAGTTACATGTTCTGAACTGAAACTTTCCTTTCACATTGTCTCTCTCTTTCGGATACACACATGGCGTTTTGTTTAATATGGTCACTGGATACCGCTTACAGTAAAGCGTCTCTGAGGTTGTGTTGAATGCCATGAATGACGCTGCTCACACCTCCTGTGCTTGTTATATTGTTCTGATGACAGTTTAAAAGATTCCCAGGGCGATATTTGACTGTGTAAATTTTTATTTACATAGTGACCTTAAGACTTTATCCCGCCTGAGGTGTAACCCATGTACCTGGAGATTATTGAATTAAATCACCTCGAGTCTTACCTTTCAATACATCAGCAGACAGTCTTTTGTTTTTCCACTTTACAATTTATTCTTGGAAAATAGGTCATGTTTTCCCTTAGTAATAGCATAAATGAGGGCTAGATATTCTGCTCAGGGAGAGATAAGGCCAAAGGAATAACACCAGCGCCAACACTCAGCAGTGGTCAGTTTCTGTGACCACATAAAGTAACAAGAAGATGTCACAAAAATTATGGGCCAGGAGGCATCTTTAATGGCTCCACTCTAGGGCTGGGGATAATGCTCATTGTTACAGACATTTGCTGTTTTTTTCTGAAGACCCATGTCAGCTCCCAGTACAGCTCACAACCATCTCAAAGGGCTCGTCCTCACCTGCCTCACCCTGCACAAACACGGGTGACACACACATTCATATAAGTAAATAACAAAATAACGATTACCTTCTAGGCACACATGTGCAGACGTAAACAAAGTCCTCTAGAAACAGAGGGTTGTAGCAAGAATGAAGTCAGTGCCCTAGATGGCATGACTTCTGTCTTTCACTTCACCTCGCCACCGGAAGTCCCACAAAGACGTGTCTACCATTTGCAAGCATACATGAGGATGTCATGCTGCCGTGTGACTTATTTACCAGGGCGCAACTAATGCTCTTCCTTCATCAGACACTAACTCACGAGCAAACATGAGTTTCACCCTTGCTGTGACAAGGAGAGCTCTTGGTAAACTGTTTGGCTAGCTTGCTGAGTTTTGTAAGCTCTGGAGAACCTGTGTGGAGCCGTTTCTCCATCCTCCTTCACGACTATCCCTCAAGTCACCCACGAAAGTGACACTGTGGGCGACTTTGAGGAACAAGCAGAAGAGAGGGAATAAAATGTGGGGTGCTGTTGGCATCTGTGTTGCTGTTTCAAGGCTGCTTCCAGCAGTGCAGAAGAGCAGGGCCCCCGAGTCATCTCACCCAACTGAAACTCATCGTCCACGGGGATGCTCACCACAGAACTGACTGGGTGCAGCACGCTCATGAGGACGTCACAGAAGGCCTGGCTGGACGTCAGCGAAGCCGTGACACCAGAAGGGAGAATGTGATCACGGCTCTTTATCCCTCCACCAACAGTCCCAGCTCTCGTGGAAAGTGCTACATAAAAAAAAAATAATTTTCTTTCTTTACAAATTTCTTCATGCCACAGGAAGCAGACTCTCAGTGCTTTCCTGCCCTTTATTATTTTGTGTGTGGGGGGGGGGTTGAGACAGGGTACTGCCCTTTATTCTTGTGTTTGTCCTTGACACAAACAAGTTAAACGCAAGGGCCGCTTCCACCTCTGAACTCTGTGTGAGCCCATGGCGAAGCCACTGCACCTGACAACCTTGCTCCACTTCCAGATGTCTCTAGAGCAACGGTTCTCAACCCATGAGTCACAACCCTTTGATGGGAGGAACGACCTTTTCACAAGGGTCCCAATATCCTGTGTATCAGATATTTACATTACGATCCATAACAGTTGCAAAATTACAGCCAAGAGGTAGCAACGAAAGTAATTTTATGGTTGAAGGGGCGGGTCACCACAGCATGAGGAACTGGATTAAAGTGTTACAACATTAGGAAGGCTGAGGACCACTGTTCTAGAGAAAAGAAGCATACGTACCTAGCTACTGGTCAAGGGTGGGGCAACGCCTCTCTGGTCAACAAACAAAGCAAATCTCTTTCTTTTTCACGTTAGCACGACCAAGCCCTGCTCAGACAGAAATGCATCTTGTCTTTTACACTATGTAACTAAAATGTATTGATCACTTCGAGAATTCGGGTTCAGTCTGTTCCTCCCCATGTGTCTGCTTCATAAATAGTTTCCCTGCGTGTTTTTTATAACTCATCCTAGAAAATCAGGAAACGACACACAAAGCATGTGTCTGTGTCGTCATACAATTAGCCCTTGTGAAGGTTTTTTTTTAATTCTATTTTTGCATAATCCCTTTCTGTATTACATTGATGAACCTGGGTAGGCAAATGCAGGTAAATTGGTAAGTTGTGTCATTCTGAACAGGGTTTCTCAAAAGCAATTCAGAGTAACGGCCTTGTTGTACATCCAGCCTGTGGCCAGACACGGGACCTTTGTCGTACAGTCATTGCTTGGGCTTTGAGCAGTTTTCTTGCCTGCTCTTGGACAGCCACTCTGATGTCTCCACCGTGTCTCAGCGCTGCTGAGTGAGAACATAGGATGCTGAGAAGTGAAATAAGGCTCCTGCTTGATTGACAGCTGCTGAAGTCATTGAAAGAAGGCGAAAGGGGTCTGGTACAATTGCTGATTATTGAGAGGATGGACAGCTAGTTGGGGACACGGAGGAAAGAGTCTGCCTTTAGACGCTGTGTCGTTGGTCTGACTGGACCTTTACAACACGCAATAATTACCAGTTTCTCGTTTTATCTGTGTCGATTCAGACTTCAGGGTGTTGATGGAAAAGAGTTCATATTCTCTCAAGTTTGATAACATGTGTATGTGTGTGTATATATGTACATATATATATGTAATATGTGTGTGTGATATGCATAATCAGGGTTGCAAAGAGCATCCTGTTTTCCTCAAGGCATAAATGTCAATACACAGTCAAAAAGAACGTCTGGAGACTCATTGTAGTAATTGCTCTGACCACGTCGTGTCATCTGGGCTTCTAAGGGGTCTGTGAGGTTAAAGCCTCCTCCAAGCAGGTTTTCAGAAACTGTCAACGCTTCCCATGGGCAGAACTAGGTTGTCTAAGAATAAGGTGAAGCCGGATTTACACTCGTCGGTGCTGGTGACAGAGCTGGGGTCTCTCGTCCTCTGCCCCGGTAGCTACAAAGTGACCTAGTTCTGTGTTGCTCACGTGTGCACTTGTAGGCTGCCTGAGAAACCACCCGGGGGGACACTGAGGGCAGAAACCGCAACTCAGGAACGCTCACCTTTCCGGTGTCCTGCTCTGCAGGTGACCGCATAGAACTAAAACCCTACATTCTCTTCCCTTTAGCTATGTAATAAAATCGTGTTCCTGGTAAGCTTTGTGGGAAATCGAGGCACATTCACCCGAGGCTATCGCGCGGTCATCCTGGACATGGCCTTTCTCTACCATGTGGCGTATGTCCTGGTTTGCATGCTCGGTCTCTTCGTCCACGAGTTCTTCTACAGCTTCCTGGTGAGTACGGCTGTGTGCACAGCTGCCACTAGGCACGCGATGCGGCGTCCTACACCTTAGACTTCCAGTTGGTTTCTGTTGGTTTGGTTTATTGTTGTTTTACATATTTATCATTTACTTATTTACTCATTTATTTTCCTTAGCCAGGCTCAAATCACGTTATTGTTGGAATTCCCTAGGAGAAGTGTGGGTATTTTCTTTGGGAAGCGCATAGGAGAGGGAGTTCCGTTCTTTGATGAGAAGCAAGCAACTTCCTTGCCTCTTCTCTTGGCCCAGGCTTCACAGGACAATCTGCTTTGGGTTTTCAGCCAAGTAATGTTTCCTTAATTGACTGATTATCCAGCTGCAAAGGGACAAATACGGATGCATATTTTATTTATAGTGTCAAATGTTACATTAATCACTACATAGGATGTAAGCAAAATGAGAAGTAAGAAAAGCCACCCTAGCAAAGGAGTAAGCTGCTTAAAGTATAGACTCCTAGCTTACGTCACCAGCGTTAGCTTACGTCACCATCCTTAGCTTACGTCATCATGGCTAAGCTTAGCTATGTATATTTAAATCTTTAGGCAGTTTTTTTTTCAGATTCCTTTGTTTTTGTTTGGAGACGACTTGCTTCGCTGTGTAGCCCAGGCTGGCCCCTAACTCACGGTCTTCCCACCTCAGACTCTGTGCTGGGGAGGTGCCTGTGAGTCACTACACCCAACTGCACATCCTTTCTAAAGATGCCCTCTCATTCTTAAATGCCATCTTCCTTTCTCTGTTTACACTGTTTTATAGTCGTTAATGGGAAAGGAGTTGGTATAAAAACATGGTAAGTTTAAATCTATGAGCGGTATCTGAGTATGGACACATGCATGCCACGGTGCACAGGCAGAAGTCAGAGGACCTGCTTGGGAGTCACCCCTCACCCACCCCCTTGCTTGAGGCAGAGTTTCTCATTTCATCACTGTGAATGCCACCCACTCTGTGGCCTCTGTAGAGTTAAAACAAAGTCTCCTTTATGTTGACCTAAGTGGTTAAAAAGTTGAAGAAGCCAGATCATTGGCAATCTAGAGGTTGAGTTTGCATTAATTCATCTTTATTGAAGGATATTGGCCATGTTTCTAACAATAGCTGTACTTCCCAAGAGACAAAAGATAGTGAGGTAGTGAATTTTTTGTTTTAAGAATTTGACTCATCAAATGCCAGTGTCTTAAAGACAGGCTCTGCACAGCAGCGATTAGCAAGGCCGTGATTACAGTAGAAATCGATGGTGTAACTCTTGGCACACAGCAGACCAGGGAATTTTGAAAAGACACACACACCTAACTGATTGTTCCAGGCCAGCCAGATTATAGTATAAGAACACAAACCCCAAGTCTCCAAGTTGTGAAGATAGGATTCATTTTCATACATTTGTGGACATTTCTGAAAATGGATATAACTTTATTTCTTTTAAGTACCTCTGTATAATAAAACATGCATTTGCTGATTCATAATCTCAGTTTCATAATGTACCGGTGCGTAAAATGGTTCTCAGCATCGGCTGTAGGCAGCAGACATGTGCTTGAGTTCCTGATCCCTGTTTAGATTTGCTGCTGTTAAAGACAGCGTGGATGGGAACCTGTAAAAGGAGTCCTTGATTGTTCTAGATAATAAAAAGCCGGAGTCAGATATAGAGGGAAACGCTGAGAGATCAGAGAGGAGTAAGCCGCAGCACACCTTACCTCCTTAGTGTCTCAGCGGACAAGAGAACAATTTCCTGTTTCTCCCTGCTCATATCCCGTTTCCGCCCAGCCACCTCACTTCCTGTCTGTCTGTACAGACCTCCAGACCTCTATGGTTAGCTAGTGGCAAGCTCCAGTCTCTGACTCCCAGACAGGCTCTATTTGTCAAGGACGATATCACCATAGTAACCCTTTAGAGGGAAGGAATTGACAAAACAGTTACCATTTTTTGTTTGTGGTTCTGCTCTAAAAAGGATAAGCTAATACAGATTTTTATCCCCATTTATGTATTATTTTAGTCACGAGGAGTGTCTCATTTCCCAAGTATTTTAAATCCAGACATTTTCCATGGCACCATGCTCACAAAATTGTCCTCTTCATTTCGTTTTGAGTCCCTCGACTAAACAACAAATTTAACAAATTTTTTCCAATTGTCCACAAGCTACATGTGCCTGATAGTATACGTTGCCTACATTCAAAAGGCCGTGTGTCTTAGCAGGGGGTGTGACACCGATGATGAAGCCAGAGTATGCTAATGATGCCGCTGGAGCCGTCATCTTCACCGAAACTGCACCCCCTTGCTTTCTATCTCCACTGTTGGCGTTCATTTAAAAATGTTATTTGTTCAAAGTCTATCTTGATTTTTAACTTTTTGTTCCTGCAGCTCTTTGACTTGGTGTACAGAGAAGAGACCCTGCTGAACGTCATCAAAAGCGTCACCCGCAACGGCCGCTCCATCATCCTGACGGCGGTCCTGGCTCTCATCCTGGTCTACCTGTTCTCCATCATCGGCTTCCTCTTCCTGAAGGATGACTTCACCATGGAAGTGGACAGACTGAAGATCAGAGCACCAGTCCCAGGTAGCTGTCCTCCCTCTGAGCACCACTCCCCCCACCCCAGCAGCTCTGACTCGTAGGTCCCTTGTTTGTGTGGGATTTCCAGACACGCTGCGGATAGGTAAAAATTTTGCTTTCCACCTTTTTGAGACTTGGTCTTGTTTACCACTGCTGCGGTTTAAGGCTGAAATGTCCTCCTAGCCCCCGTGTGTTTGAACATCTGGGCCCTATGTGGTGGCACTGTTTCAGCTGGGGGGATGCCTCTCTGGAGGAAGTGGTGGGCCTTGGGTAGGACAGTCTGGCCTCACTTCCCTTCCCGTCTGCCCTCTGCCCCCTGACCGCTAATGCCGTGTGACCCGCTGCCTTGGCTGCCCCCACGTCAGGCGGTGTCTCTTTGAACTGTCAGCCAGAATGAGCTGTTCATCCCTTCCTCGAGTTGCTCCTTGTTAGGTGTTTGATCCTAGCAGTGACTAGAGTAATAATCGAATGTCTAAGAGCTGAGAATTTGAAATACTGCAGCCTGTATGCCGTCAGTGCGGGTTGGGAAATACACAAGAGACATCATCTGCACTCCATCCTACGGGGTTCTCAAATGCTGACCACATTGCGGGAAATTCCAAGATTCTTTCTTTTTTCCCCTCTTCTTCCCATTTTCTCCAAAGAACAGCATCCGGCACCTGAGAGCCAACACCCAGCCATTTTCCCACACACGCTGCCTCACGTTCAGATAACTTAAAATGACAAGTGTGATTTGGAAACCATCAGGTAGTAAGAAGTGTGTTTTGGAAGACATGCGTAGGGGCTGCGGCTAAAGGGACCCACTCCTCGGCGAGTGGCCGTTGGGGCCCCTGCGTGACGTTTGTCGCAGGACCACTTAGACGTCACCTGGTGTCCTCACTGAGAGGCCCTGGCATGAGGAACTAGCCTCCCCTGCTATTTTAGACTTACTTTCCTTGTGCCTTCTGACCTCTCCTACACACCCTTTGCTGCTGCGTTAAATTCCGTAGCTGACCTTTCCCCAACCCTGCTTTACTCTGTAGAAACCACGGTTCTGCGTTGTTCTGTTTTCTTGGTCCCACTAACTACTGTTTGTAGAGAGAGACAGGAAACCCCAGAAGGACACGCTTTCCCCTCAAACCACTGGACTTTAAAGCTAAAGTTTAATTAGCGGAAGCATATGCCGCATTCCTTCTTGCCTTTAACAGATAGTTCTTTTTTTTTACTTTATTTACTTATTTATTTTATATTCTGGATCAGTTTCCCCTCCCTCCTCTCTTCCCATTCCCTCCCCTACCTCCCCTCCCCACCATCCACTCCTCCCGTTTCTGTTCAGAAAGGGTTAGACCTCCCGTGGATATCGACAAAGCATGGCTTACCAAGTGGCCATAAGACTAAGCACCTCCCCTCGTATTTAGGCTGGACAAGGCAACCCCGTGTGAGGTGGAGGGGGAGAGTACTGAAAGGGATGATGAAAAAGGGGGTGAGACCCCCCAAGGGAAACTCCCACACAAGGGTAACAGATAATTCTTACCTATGGAATTGACAGTGAACAGTACCATCTTCCATAAGCTTGTGGGGTGATTCAATGGTGTTTAGATCTATTGGTTAGTGAGTCCACACGACTCACACATGTGACGGAAACACCAGCTTCACCGGGGACTTGAACTCCACACCAAATATTCGTCTCTGGGTTCAGGACTGAAATGTGGTGTTGTTACCTCGGGTGCATCTTCTAGAGTTTCACAGGCAGGCTATCAGCTTTCCACTTACTTTGGGCTGTTGTAATAAACAAAGGCCCGAGAACATAGCTTTAATACAAGGAAATGATTTACTTTGGCAGCTTTTGTTTTCAGTTAATGTCACTTAGCCCCATCACTAGGCCTATGGCAAGACAGAACACTGTGGTTGGGCAAAGATTCTTACCCAGTGGTGGCTTTGAGGCTGGGGGAGGAAGGTGGTTCTCAATACCTCTTCAGTGGTACTTCTCTGGAGGGAGAGATCATGTAGCCGCAGCCAGTTGGGGCGTGGTCACAGATATGTGGGAGAAACCAGGGATAAAAGAGGGTACGGGAGGGGACCCCACTCTCTCTTGGATTCCGGTTGAGGTTCGGAGACCATAGAGTGCTGATTCTGGTTCTCAGCTTCTCATGTAAAGTTGCTTCTCTCTATCTGAATAAACATCCAACTACCTTTTCCCAGCATCCTCAGCGTAACTCGTTTCCATTCTCAAATCCCGGAGACCCCCACCACCACTAAGCCTCACCTCCCAAAAGATCAGATACCTCCCTGAGCCGGTGACCAGACACTCAGTTTATAGCCCTTAAGGGACACTGAAGATGCAGACCATCCCAGCAGGGTTCATGCGTGTGAAGGAAAGGCTTTTATTTAAGTCCCCCAGAACTCCACTCTTTCTAAGCTGAGTTCAGAAAGCCTGGCGTTGTAATCACTTGCTAGATTAGAGGCCTGGCCACAGTTCATTCAGTAGAGAGGACATGTGAGACAGAAGCATTGCAGCTTCCAGAACAAACATATACAGTAGTTACTGTTTTATTAATTCTGCGGTAAATATTTTATGTTGTTTGAGGAAGAAGTCAGTGCTATATTATGAGTGCACTTTCTTTAGAAATAGAAAAAAATACAACATAAGAAACACTAAAGCTGAAATTTCAAGCTCTGTCTTTACCGAAAATGTGTAGAAACCAGTCCCTGGCTCTCGGTGGGCTGGAAGTTTTTTTTCGTAGCTTACGATCCTAGAAAAAGCATCTCTGTTTCCACACTTTGAATTTCATTTCTGATACTACACAGTAGCATCTGCCTTAAGTCTGCTTTCTGTTGCCACAACAGATTACGTAAGGCACAGTGGCTTGTAAAGAACAGAGGTTCATTTAGTGCATGGTTCCCGAGGCTGGAGGGATCCGCTTGACGTTTGAAGAGGCTGTTCTTGTGGAAGATAACAGCGTAGGGTACCCCAACACGAGGAGTGGCAAGCCGGGCTTTAAAATGAATCCACCGTAGAGATAACCAGTAATCCATGAGCACGTTACTCCAACAGATGCCAAGTCTGATCACCTCCCAGGACTTCACAGCCAGGCTTCAGTTTCAGTGTGTGCCTTGGCGGAAGCATCCTGGCCTACAGCAGGATGCGCGGCATCTTCTTCATTTTTTGCATTTTTGAGCACTGTCGCTCACAAAGCTGACCTTGGGTGAAGTTGTTGAGGCTAACACACTCAGGTAGCAAGTGACTTCTGCATTGCAGAGGTGGGTGCTGTTCTTCCAGCAGGCGTGAAGCGAGCAGAAACCCCACAGGTGGGAGCAAGCAAGCGGGGAGGTGGAAAGTCAGGGCCTCAAGGTGCTGGGGAGGGCGGAGACAGCGCTGGGGAGGGCGGAGACGCGCTGGGGAGGGCGGAGACACGCGCTGGGGAGGGCGGAGACGCGCTGGGGAAGGCGGAGACGCGCTGGGGAGGGCGGAGACACGCGCTGGGGAGGGCGGAGACACGCGCTGGGGAGGGCGGAGACACGCGCTGGGGAGGGCGGAGACACGCGCTGGGGAGGGCGGAGACACGCGCTGGGGAGGGCGGAGACACGCGCGTCTTGCAGGTATCATTGGCCATTTCGGGAATGGGGACTCCACCTCAGGGCCCAAGATCCGCTGCTTAGTGGGTAAGAAGCGGCCACACAGGCACAGCCAGAGCAGTGTCTAGGGCTGCTTAGTGGGTAAGAAGCGGCCACACAGACACGGCCAGAGCAGTGTCTCGGGGGAAGTGCCAGGAAGGAAAGCTGTGGACTGTGTTTCTCATACCTGCCCTCTCCTCGTTCCCACCTGCCCAGAGTACAGGAGAAGCCGCCCTTGTGGCTTTGTAACCTGAGATCTCCCTCCGCTGTTCCAGCCGCAGCTCTGATTCTGAGGATCTGAACCCCATCCGTTGGGTGCTTGGTGGAAAGTTCTGGGCTAGAGGTTTGCATGACTCAGCCTACTGTGTCCCTTTGCTCTCCTTTGATATTATAGGCTGCCGCTTGGTAGACCCCCTGGGCTCCCCGCTTCATATTCATGCTCATAAACCCGTGGTTCCTTTAGGGAAATCTTCTCCACTTAGGTATCTCCTTTCCCTCCTGGATACTCGATCTCCCCCTCCTGCTGCGTTACCTCATGCTTTCCTCACCCGTCAGCTCCAGCCACGTCTCTGCTCTTCGTATCCCATCAGTTCTCCAAAGCCTTGGAGTCTGAGCCGTGGGAGCCTAGTGTGAATGCATCCAGAGTTTGCTGAGGGGCTGTCATGGGGCTCGCTCAGAACTCCTCCTCTGTGCCTCTCTAACCACCAGTCTGCGCTCCCTGGCCTGCATCAGTGCCGACAGAGACAGAGACAGCACCGTGAGGCCACCTGTGCCTCCCCAGCCCACCCAGTCTTCACATGTCCTCCCGACACCAGCTCCCGCTTGTAAATCTACTTCTTCTGGTCCTCTCAGCTTATGAGTCAAACTTCCAAGTTAAACGTTGCTTCATACAAATAGAAAGGCCGCTGTCTCTTGTACCATGTGGGCCAGGGAAACCAGCAGAGAGAGGGATTCCTGGGGGCTCGGGAAGGAAAGTTAGTTCCCAAACATGGTTCTGGAAAAAAAAAGTTTTCTCTCCTTGGGTTGTTTGAAGCCCTTCTTCTCTGGGGCCCATACCTCATCATGAGGACTGCCCACCCAAGGTCCTTGTCTCAGCCACAGGGACCAGTGACTTGAGCCTGTGGACGGACTCTCTGCTTGGGAGGAAGCTGTCCTGGCAGCCCAGGTCAGAACCCCGCATGCATGTGGCCAGAGTAATAGTAGTATTCACGGAGGTTTAGGTCAACAATATTACTCATGCTTTATCACAGCCCTGAAAAGAAAACAATTACGTGAATGGAGCCTTTTGCACATTGGTGATGAATCTATTCTCTATTTATAACGTTGCTTTGACAGGCAAACACATGCGCAGGGCTCCAGGCTAACTCACCACAAGGTCAAAGCATAAATATATTTGACTCTGTGTTCATGTCCATTTGTCATGTAGCGTGTGCCTCTCTACAGATCTCTGCTCTGTGTTCTCCCCAGGTAATCACGGAGCTCCTACCATGACCTTACCTTCCATGATGGGGACCTGTCAGAAGGAGAGCTGCTCACACACGATCCCCTCTCCTGACACAGGTGTGTACTGACAGCCCAGGTCTGTATAAGCCCTTCTAACACGTAATTGGGTGTGTTTTATGTTTATGGGAGTTGATCTTGGAATGTCATAATGTGTTGAAACAGAAAACAGAGGGTAAAGGACCAAAATAATTCAAGCGAGAGAAAGGACTCTGCTCGTGTTATTCTGAGCTATCTTGGTTCTCTGTTTTACCCAACCTGGCAGATTTATCATGTGGAATGTGCCGCCCCCCCCCCCAAACAGCAGCCCGCACTAAGGGATTTGCTTCTGACAACTTGACTGCCAACAAGGGTGTGGGCAAGCATGGGTTCTACTCTAGAGACCTGGCTGTAAACCTGGCCTGGCCACTTGGCTGGCTTATGGTACACAGGTTTCCAGAACCATGTTTGGTTGGCTTATAAGGACAGAAAAACAAATACACAAAACCTGTCTCCCTCCTTGGGAGCAAGCAAATGTCTATAAAACAGCTTTAGGTCTAAACCATTCTCTTAAGATGTGGCAGCAGTCTGGGAGTGTGGCATGTGTGATGTTTTCTAAATTATAGAAAATAATATTGTATTTCACAAAGCAGTAGATACAGTGGTGTGTGTGTGTGTGTGTGTGTGTGTGTGTGTGTGTGTGTGTGTGTGTGTACCTACAGAGGCCAGAGAGTGTCACAGCCCCTTGGCCTGGAGTTACAGGTCAAGCGGTGGTGGGAGCCAACCCAGATCCTCTGCAACACGAATATGTGCTCTTAACCCCTGAGCTGTCTGTCTCTCAAGCTCATCTCACATTATTGACCTGGTTTCCAGGTTTCAGTGTCCTTCCTGTCCCTAATTCTGTCCTTCCTGGTCATGTGACCTGACGTACCACTTGTCCTTACTCGGCTCTTGACCTAAGAGTGGTTCTGCCATTTCTAACTCACTGAAGAAAGATACATCATAGGAAGTGGGTGTAGCCCAAAGATCCTGAGAACTTTCATCTGGATCCTCACAGATTAAAAAGGAATCCGACCTCCACAAGAGATCTAGGAATGTTGCAAAGGACAGCAACAGGGACTTCAGGGCCTGGAAACACTCTCAGATGCACAGAGGTCATGCTTTATGAGATCCTTCAGCTACCTAGAAATTTGTCACGAATTAGACGGGATGGGTGGCTTAATACGTGAAGTACTTACTGTGTAAGTGAGAGGCTATGAGTTTGATTCCCAGGATGCACACACACACACACACACACACACACACACACACACACACACACACACGCACACATGCAGCTGGGCATTGCATCTGTAACCTCAGTACATACTTATAACCCCAAAACTGGGGAGGAGGGGACAGGAGGATCCCCGGGGCTCAATGGCCAGCAAGTCTAGCTAGGAGTAGTTGAGAAAGGCAACAAAGGTTCACCTCTGACTTCCACATCCATGGGCATGTATACCCATCCCATCAATTAATTCTTCCCCCTTCTCTCTCTCTCTCTCTCTCTCTCTCTCTCTCTCTCTCTCTCTCTCTCTCTCTCTCACACACACACACACACACGCATGCACATACACACTCATGTATACAGAGAGAGAGAGAGATGTCACAAATAAACTATCTTTCAATCTACGTACTTTCTAAGTTTTTACTTTAAATTAGAAAATTCTTTGTGAAAGCCACCTCCCTGGTTTTGGGGCGCAGTGCCTGCTCACCCCCAGTGGCAGGGCGGTCTGCTCCATCTCTCCTCCTCCCCACAGCGCCCTGCCAAGGACCCACTTGAGCACCTTCTGTTAGTGCAAAGTCATTGTCGGCAGTTTCCAGAGTCTGTCTCCATCTTAAGTCCCCGACTACAGATGTTTCTCCCTTTTCTAAGGACAAGTAGGGACAGTTCTTCACTCCTGTGCAGTGCTCCCTCCCCCCAAGTCTCTGTCCTTTGGGGGTACAACAGAGCTGGTAACAGTGTGTGGAAATCTTGTAGAGAAAGCTGCTGCAGTAGGGGAGAAGGCTGGCAGAGCGCCAGTGGAAGTGCTGGAGACCTTACTGGAGCTGGGGGTGAGGGGGACGTGGTGGGGGGCAGCTGTCCTGGAGCTGGGGGTGAGGGGGTGGGGCAGCTGTCCTGGAGCTGGGGGTGAGGGGGTGGGGCAGCTGTCCTGGAGCTGGGGGCAGGAGGGGGACGTGGTGGGGGGCAGCTGTCCTGGAGCTGGGGGTGAGGGGGTGGGGCAGCTGTCCTGGAGCTGGGGGCAGGAGGGGGATGTGGTGGGGGGCAGCTGTCCTGGTGACGGATCCCCCACAACCAGACCTAGAGAGAAGCCACAGCAGAGCCTCTGTGCACTTTGACGTTCAAGTGTTAAAACTGACTAGTCTGTGGATTTGACTTTTGTTTTTTACAATTGAAGTTTTAATTCTTTAAAGTAAGGATGTCACTCTTTAGCTCTGGATGTATGGAAACTCAATATGTAGATCAGACTGGCCTGGAACTCACAGAGATCCACCTGCTTCTGCCTCCTGAGTGCTGGAATTAAAGGCGTGGATTTGACCTATAAATTTTGCCTATGTGAATAATTTCAGTAATCAAAACTGTGTAGATTCTATCTTCAGGGCCATATTTGCGCTAACATTTGGCAAGATGTGTTTAGCTGCAGTTATTTGACTGGCAAGCCTATGAGTTTGATCTCCTGCACCTCTTTAAATGGTGGCTGTGTGTGTTTAGCCGCCTAAGTAGAGAGAAAGCTGAAGTCTGGTGTTTGTTGCGCAATACGCGTGACTTAGCCTTAAAAATAGCTTTCTCCTGTCTAGGGCCGGGGTGCAGTTCTAACTCGTGAGCTGTGGCGTGCAGTTTTGAGGGCCTTGGTCTGCTCTCTTGGGGCCAGCAGGGGCACACCACAGAATGCCCAGGCACACGGCACCTGTGTAAGAGCCAGGCAATGGCTGCCCGGTGCAGCTGGCCCTGAAAAGACTCCTGAGGTGCAGGTCCGGTCATTTCCCCAAGCAGCAGAGGACTCACGTGACAACTGGCAACTAATTCAACTCGAAAAACACTCCAAAGCTTTTGTATTTCATTTACTACAAGCCTGCTAGAACCTCGGGTGAAAATACCTACATCCCCACACACACTGACTTTTCCAGAAAAGCCAAGCCTTGTTGAGACAATACTAAAAGTCTAATCATGGCTACTTTGTGAGTCAATATCATTTGCACGTTCAGGAGAATAAAAAGTTGGTGTATGTTTACCATTTGAGAGACCGATTTTAATCTCCCAGTACCCTACTTTAATAGGAAAGGTTGGTGGATAGCAGAACTCGTCAAGATAACACACACTGCATTTTGGATTCCCATTGGGTACCAGCATTTTAAAACATTTTCCTAATTGCAAAATAACTTAAGAACCGCATGTCTATAATGGATGGATTGTCACTAAAGTTTAAGACAAGAGGGTTTGAGTTGCTGCCAGACTTCCAAGTGAATCTCAGCTCCAGGCTGCTGTGTCCACAAACAGCAAGTAATTTATTAAAGCATAAAAGGGGACATCGATAAATACTTATGTTCAAGCCGGGCGGTGGTGGAGCACGCCTTTAATCCCAGCACTGGGGAGGCAGAGGCAGGCGGATCTCTGTGAGTTCGAGACCAGGTTGGTCTACAAGAGCTAGTTCCAGTACAACCTCCAAAGCAATACAGAGAAACCCTGTCTCGAAAAAACAGAAATAAATAAATAAATACTTATGTGAGCCTCCCCACATGGGTGCTAGGAACTGAACTCCGGTCCTCCGGAAGACCACCAGCAAATACTCTTAACCACTGACCCTCCCCAGCCCATGTCCAATGTTTTTAAAACATATAGACTAACACTCCAAGTGAAAGGACAGCTTATTCAGATCCTGAGGGATAGGTCTTTATTCCTTTCCTCAAATTAAACTATTTATCATCATGGATTAAGAAAAATTGTTTTTCTGGTGGTCAACTGAAGATGGATAGATAAGCTCACGTCACCCAAGTGTCAGATTTGTTTCTTGTATTAAAACAATGGTGTTTCATAAGATGTAACAGCCACTGTATGTGGGTAATTGATCTCTCTCTCTCTCTCTCTCTCTCTCTCTCTCTCTCTCTCTGTGTGTGTGTGTGTGTGTGTGTGTGTGTGTGTGCCCCCATCCCACTGTACCTGAGGGAATGTCTGTTGGGCCTGACTGTGCCGGCCAGACCCTTCATTGGATACTTACGCAGAGGCCACTGCCTTCAGGACACCTAGGCTGCCGTGCGCTTGCTCATCCGCTGACCCACTGCCTTCGTCTTGGGGACTTAAAGTTCCCGTAGGCTGGGGCACTTAACACCTGTGTCTCCTTTTCATCACACAAAGCCGGCATTGCCTAAAGAGAAGCTAGTCTCACAAGTGACCACAAGGTGGCACTTACCTGTGGGAGCCCTGAATGACTTACTGAGAGTGGACTCCTGTCAAGCGGTAGACCCTTTAACACAGCTCATAGAGGCTGCTGTATCACCCCAGCATGCCTGTGTAGCTACTGGTGAGCAAGATGCCTGGGCCATTGCTGGCACTGACATAACTTGGGCACCCTCCTGCTACCCAATTTTTATATTTCAAAAACTTAAGTCGCCCTGCCGTGTCACAACTCTTCGCTTAGTTCTTGTCAATCACACAGTGGTAGGCTTCACTGTGACACTTCCACATTGCCATTTAACGACCTTGGAATATATTCAATCCCCATTACCCTTTCTTGGGCCCCTCCCCTACCCTTACGCTTTCAGGACTTCTAAGTGATACATATGAGAGGAAACACACAATTCTTGTCTTTGTTCCATCCATTTCCCTACAAATAACCCAGTTTTCTCCTTGTTTATGAATGAATGCAACTGTTACGTATGCAAACCACATTTTCTTTGTCTGCCGGCCCCTTAATCTGTAACGTATATGCAGGATGCTTCTGTCGTCCGCGCCTCAGTAGACACGAGCACGCAGGTTTCTCTGTAATGGGCTGTCTTTGGCTCTTCGGAATCTGAACCAGAATTGGGGCAGTTGGATCGTGTTCTGGCTCAGGCTTTAATTGTTTGAGGGACTTCCATGCTTATGTCCATGCATTGGCTTACATTCCCACCTGCCCACCAGCTGTGTATAAGAGTCACATTCATACACACACACACACATACACACACCCTTACTAACAGTTGTTGCAATTTTTTTGCTCCTTGGTTTTGTGTCTTGTTTTGTTTTTGAATCTTGATGGTAGCCGTCTGATATGGGGTGAGAAGGGACCTCAGTGTGGTTGTGATTTGTATTTCTGCTGCGGCTGGGTCAGGGTGGTGACATATATATATATATATATATATATATATATATATATATATATATATATATATATATATATTATGTGCTTCTTGGCAGCCCGTCCATTTTACTTCACCGTGGCCAATCACATGGTGTGATGCGTGGCTTTCCCTAACTCCCAAAACAGCTTTGTTCCCTGCCGCTCCCCCGTGCCCACCAAACTGGTGCCCATTGGCCTTAAGTTGGCACCTGCTGTGCTGCAGCCGGGCAGTTGCCGACGGACAAGTGCTTGTGCCCAGTGTCCCATGAGACTCGTTACTCTTTGCTCTGATCGGAAGCCCTTCTCTCGGGAAGCGGCAGGAGCTATGTGACCTCCTTCCTGGAACCCGGAGATTCTCTGTCACCATCTCTTTCCCGGTCACTTCCTTTCCTTTTCCTGTCACCACCACAAAGCTGTCCGGGTCCCCACTGCTCCCTCCTCCCCCAGTTCCTTCAGATTTCCAAATCAGAAGCCCCCGGTTCAGCCCTGCGGTGAGCGGCTACCCACGGGTCTGCCCGTCTCCGATGCTGAGCTCGTGCGCGCCTGTCCCTGCGTGCAGCCTTCCTGTCAGCGGTGTTCCGGCGTGCTTTAAAAGGAGTAGCCTGGGACTCGTGTAAAAAATACCAGGACCTCCTTCCTTAGGATTTAAAATAAAATCTGTTCTGAAGAGAGAAACCAGCCTTCTCCTAATGAGAGATCCGTGGCCCTGGATCATGCCGTGAGGCTGCTTGCCTTCCCCACAGCCAGTGGCTGCTTTTACGTTCTTGTCTTGACATGCAGACTGCAGCCCCGGGTCCCCAAGGGCAGTTAACTTTGTAACAAAATGAGCCTTTTGCCTTTCTGCTCATTTACTAATGTGACAGAATCCTGGTTCTCACGCCCAGCTGAGCAAAAATCCTTGCTTTAAATGGTTTTAATGTTTTCTGTCCGGATCTTTCCAGCAAGGGGTCAAGTCTCAGGACTTTTCTGACACATTGGATCGTTTCCTCTCTTTTCATTCCTAAGCAGGATTTCATCTCTAGCTCTAGGCGGTCCCTCAAAAAGCTCTCAAACTTACTCCAAATAACGACAGAATCGTGGCTACTGTATGTGGCCTCTGTAGTCCAAAGCTCCCACTGTGGGCAGTTCCAACATGCCTTACATGGTCCTTGGCCAACCCTCCAACCCACAGCATTCTCCCCGTTCTACGTGAGGCCGCTGAGATCAGTGGCTTGCCCCAGTCTCGATTGCTTCCTTGGCCTGACTCATTCATTCATTCATCTGCAACGCTTCGCAGCTTGGGTGGGGGAGAGCTGCGTTGACCACCGTCTCCGCCACAGCCGGGCGCATGAGTTTTTAACCTTGTCACACTTTCTGCCTTGTCACTTTCCACCGAGCCGGGGAATGCGAAAATCTCGAGACACCACGTGTGTAGCTCTACGCATGTCAGTCAGTCATGCGTGGTCGCAGGTGAAGTAGACGTCATGTGACTTCAGAAAATTGTGTTTGGCACAACGCAAGCAGGACTCCCGGGCGGAGATAACGGTGTGTTCTCAAAACTCCTTGTGTTTCTGCAGCTGATGAAGGGAGCGAGGAGGGAATCGAAAGGACGTGTGACACCCTGCTCATGTGCATTGTCACCGTGCTGAACCAGGGCCTCAGGAACGGCGGCGGAGTGGGGGACGTGCTGAGACGGCCATCGAAAGACGTGAGCAAGACGAGAGGGTTTAGTTTAAGAAGCCCATGACTATTTCCTTCCCCGCCTCTGTCCCTCCCTCCATGCCCTCCCTCCATGTCCTCCCTCCCTGCTTCCCTCCCTCCCTTCCTGAACTGGGGAATCACACCCATCAACACGACGTGTCCCCAGCCCTCGTTTTACTTTTCAAACCTTGAGATTAGGACTTTCACTGCATTGCCCAGGCTGGCCCTGAACTCAACTCTGTAGCCCCAGGCTGGCCCTGAAGTTGCTGCTCTTCTGCCTCCGCCTCCCTGTGACAGGCCCATAGCACGCAGGCCTGGTTTCTTTCCTGTTGTCTTCCTTACCAGTATTTACGGGATGGTTTTGGCATTTCGGGGCAATGGTGTCACTTGCTTCTAAAGATGTAATGGTGGCTGTAAGATCAGTTAGTTTGCACAGTGGAATTGCATGGGGTCAGAGGTGAACTAAAAGCCTGTGGATGCCAGCTGGGCTCCAGTCTGAGCTGCACATTGTGTCACAGCAGCAAAACCACGGCCACAAACTCCATAGGAGCCCACTGTCAAACAGGACACAGCAGCCCTTGTCCGCAGAGTCCCCCAGGTGCAAGGATTCGCTCCGCCTCTGCCTAGGAAGAGCCTCCGTTATTTACCATGATGAGTATGAAGTGTGGACAACTCCTGACAGAATCTCACAGCTTAAAACGGCAAAGTGAGAACATTTCTCAGTAACCGTAAATGCTGAGTCACCAAACTGGAAGCATACGCTGTTTTCTTCTTCTTTGGCGGCTGGTCTGTTAGATAATGTCCAGCCATCTTGCTAATGAGCTCAGCTCGCATACAAACAGCCGGATCCCATGGTCTCTGGTGTGAGCTTTAACACCCCAGACCAAAGTAGGTTTTCATGAGATGTGTGCATTTGACCTCGTCAGAACGAGGGCAGAACCTACTGCAGAAGCTTGAGGGGTCACCAGGTTTTCCTCAGCTGGCCTTGGGATCGTGCTTGACTCCCTTTCACTTGGTGTCTGGGAGAGGCTTTTCTCACTGACATGACTAGGCGCCCAGCAAAAGCAAACTAAGGAAAGAAAGGCTCATTTTGGCTCACAGGTCTGTGGGATTATTCTGTCATCCTGGGAGAGACACAACTTCAGTCAGAGACAGTGTGGCGGAAGGCCCGGAAGCCAGCTGGCACATGGCTTCCACCCTCAGGAAGCAGCGAGTGAGCAGGGGGACAGGGTCTGGTTCGTAAGGCCTCAAGGCCCGCCCCCGGTGACTCACTTCCTTTGGTGACTCACTCACTTCCTCTGGTGACGAGGTTCCACAACCTCCCCAAAGCAGCACCGCCGGATGAGGACCAAGTGTCCAAATCGAATGAGCCCATGCAGACACTTCACACCCCTTGCTGTTAAAGCACACGAGAAAGTGTCTTCCCGCTGGAGGGAGAAATGGGAGACTTCTGAGAGTAGGCTTCAGGCGTTCCCTCGGCTGGAGGGAAAATAAGGGCAGAGAGAGGTTTCGCATCTCTAAGCTGGGCTACCGTCTGTGCTCACTCAGAGGACACCTCTTGGGTGTATCTACCTGCTTTATGCTGGACCGTGTGCTACGGCTGTGAAGTATGTTGCGTGTCCCATGAGTGTTTCGCTCTTCCGTTGCAGGAGCCCCTGTTTGCCGCCCGCGTGGTCTACGACCTCCTCTTCTTCTTCATCGTCATCATCATCGTTCTTAACCTGATCTTTGGTGTGATCATCGACACCTTTGCTGACCTCAGGAGTGAGAAGCAGAAGAAAGAAGAGATCCTCAAGACGACCTGCTTCATCTGCGGTAGGCGCCCCCCTCCACCCCCGTGCTACGACGAGGGATGGGCAAAATCGCCCCCAAGATAACGGATGGACAAACTGCTCAGCGGGAAGGAGGGATGAGAATGAGTCTCATTTTTCAAATTTTAGGGAAAATGATTTTAGTGGGAAGGCTGGACAAAGTTCAGGTTACATAATGCCACATGAGACTGACATTCTCTGCTTCCATAAATAGATGCAAGAACCCCCCCCCCCCAAACTCCTCTACCGTTAGTTCTGCAATTCGTACAGTCCTCTGACTGTAGAGTGAGCCGCCAGATGCCAGGAGGCTCTCCCAACTGGCAGATGGGTTTTTAGTCACAATAGCATATTGAGTGTATGTATTTCAGAGTGACTTTTTATTTTGCTAGATTACGAGTCCAAAGATTCCACTCATTGGCATCACCATTTTAGATTCGAAATTAGGCGTTGTCCCAGGGTTACAGCTACACACATATATATGACATGCCCATCACAGACCATACAGCTGCTATAGAACATGCCACACACACACACACACACACACACACACACACACACGCCATACACATACCATACCCCACACACCCACACCACACACAACATACCACAGGCTGTATACATACACACACACACACACACACACACACACACGCCATACACCTACCACACTACCACACCACACACAATGTACCACAGGCTGCATACACACACACACACACACACACACACACACACACACACCACTCTGCACATGTGCGCACACACACCCCCTTTCTTCTGCCCCATAATCATGAGCCAACTTCTCCTTCACGGTCGTCTTCTCTCAAACCCTCCCCCTTCTCTACCCATCAGCTCTCTCTGGCTTCACTGGCCACCGAGATCCCTACTCTGAACCCTGGACTCTCACTCACCCCTCTATTCTCCTGTGCTCTGGTCTTCACCACGGTGTCACACAATCAGACTTAAATCAGGGCTTCGGTACAGCCTGTTCTGTGCCTGCCTTGGCATTCTTCTCGGAGGCTCTTCCAAGCTGGAGGTGTACCTGGGAAGGATGTGTAATAATACCCATGCTCTGGGGGAGAATGTCCATTAATTGTGACCTGCTTGAGTACTCATGATACGTGCTCAGACAGACAGACAGACAGACAGACAGACACACACACACACACACACACACACACTGATCTCTTGTGTATCAAGGGAAGTAACAGAGATGATTCTGGGTTACTGAAGGGTAGTAAGAGGACAGACACTTCTGCAGGCCAGGTTGGGGAGCAGTAACAGCCAACGTGTTTCCTAGGGCGAACGGCACAGAGCTGATGATCGAGGACAAAGGGCATTAGTTAACTGCTGAGCAGCCAGGACCAGGGGCGGCATAGAAACAGTATCGGCACAGCCTGGGGCTGGCTCACCTTGAGTGTCACCGTAACCAAACACCGCTGCTTACCGGATGAAAGGTCCATTCAGGGTTCCGGTTTGAAGGTTTAGGCCACCATGGCAGGGCAGGGATGGTGGTGAGAGAGCCTCTCAGCTCTGGCAGTAGGAGCGCGAGGCCGCTTGTCCCGGAGGCCGGTCGGGAGGGAAATGGAGATGAGCTACACACCTGGAGGCCTGCTGCCCTAGTGTCTGGTCTCTCCAGCTGGGCCGCTTCCCCAGGTTCTCAGGCCACTAAAAGCACCGCCAGCTGGGTCCCAAGCACTAAAGCATGTGCTACAGGGCTTCCCTGCAGACACCATAGCAGAGGGCCAGTGTCGTTGCTGTGAGTCTTGGCGTAGCTGGGAAAGCATTGGGTCTACGTTTAACTTATGTGTGTGCGTGTGTGCGTGCGTGCATGCATGTATGTATATATGTATGTATGTGCACCAGAGGCCAGAGTTGTGGACAATTGTGAGCCACTATAGAGGTGCTGGGAACCAGACCCAGGTCCTCTGTAAGACCAGCAAGTGCTCTTAACCACGGAGCTATCTCTCCAGCTCCAGAGCTTTGAAATGCTGATGGTTGGGAATGGAGATGAGAGACAGCTGGGTGGGCAGGTGATACCAAGTGGCCGAGTATGGGGAGGTGAGGTATGCATACCCCGAATTGACCTGGGGCGTACTGGACTTGAGAGTCAGCGTGTCTTCTCTGCAGACAGTGGCAGGCAGCCCCCAGCCCACAGACTCTAGTAAGATCTGGAGCTTGAAGGACGGCTGCCTGGTCAGACACGGGACAAGCGGAGTGTAAGCAGGAAGCCTCCCACGGAGAGTCAGGGGGAAGAGTACATGGGTGACGAGGGTGTGAGGAAGCTGGGGGGGATGGCAGGGGCATCTGGGAGTGTGTGCGCACTCCACACTGCTGGCTCCAGCATGGTGGGCCATGCTGTTGCTGCTGAGGCCAGCGGGGCAGATGGACGCTGGCCTGTCTCGGGGAGGACTCAGCAGGCCACTTCTGGCCCCTGGATTCGCATCAGTACCTGTTGCTTTCCTGAGCAGCCCTTTGGTGTTCCTCCAGGAGGGCAGCCCAGACCGAAGCAATTCCAGAAAAGGAATGGACGAGCCAAGCTGTGCAAAGAAAGGCATGGTTGACTCCAAGAACCTAGTGGGAGTCCCTCCCTGGGCGGCTCTGGGCAGATCCAGGTGGAGGGTAGTCTCCTGAGCCTGGTGTCATGGCGCCAAGAAACCTGTGCCCGTGAGCTAAGGCGAAAGTGCTTCAGGGGTTCCTCAGGTCCTGTGCATCGTGGCAGACTCCCCAAGTCTTCTTCTTATGAGGGTGGCGTAGTTGTTGACAAAAGCATGGAGAAGAGAGCTTACTTCTGCCACTCAGCGTGAAGAGAAGCAAGTGCTCTGAGATCTGCACTGTTTCTGTGTCTTCATGGCTGGTGACATTGTCTCTCTTCTTCCTCCTCCCCCTTCCTCATAGTCCTATGTAAGTACACATACACACACACACACACGCACACACACACACACACACACACACACACACACACACAATTTGTGGCCAGAGCAAGGCAGACTAGTAACATGAATGGAAGACCCTTATCATTTGGTTCGGTTTTGTCACTTGGGAAGACCCTTGTCCTTTGGCTCTGTCACTTGGGAAGACCCTTGTCCTTTGGCTCTGTCACTTGGGGTGCTCTGGTGGTTTACAGAGCGGGCTGCCCAGTGCAGAGCCCAGATTTGCTAGAAGAAAGCTAAGGCCAAATACGAACCTGTTGTTCATGTCTAGACTGGATGAGGGAAAATGAGGTTGGGTTGAAGCAACCAAAGAGATGTCGTGGGACCGCTCAGGAGTGTGGAGAAGAAACATGTCTGGACACCTGAAGGAATGCTTCTTCAGTCCTAGGAGAGAACTAGACCTGTGCATTTTGGAGGGGGGGGGGAAACCCAAAAACAAAATGCTCTAATTTCTCTTCTTTGTGGGACACACATCACTGTTTTCACTTGTTCACAGTGAATTGTTTGCATATCGCCTCCCAAAGGACAGCCCTCTTTCTTCATATGTGTCTTTGGCGCTCAGTGATGTCCCGTTCCTTCATACCAGCTCTCTAGAAAAGAGGGTTTGATTTTACATTGACCCCCATCCCTCTATCCCCTCCCCCCTCCCCCATCCCCCGACACTGTCTCACCACACTTTTCTTCCAAGCCCGTTTAACCCCACTTTTGCGGAGTGTACATCACCAGCACCATACCCCCCAGGCTTCTTTTTCAATCCGTGTTTACTAGACAGAAAGCTGGCGCAGCCTCCTGGAAGCCACATGGACCCAGCCCCAAGCCAGGGCCCGTCTTCTCTGCCTTCCTCCGCTCAACTCCAGACACTGGCTGGCGTACGGTAGCCACAGACGCGCAGCTCTGCCTTCAGTAATCAGGACTGGAAGCTCTTCCTCACGTCTGCTCTCTCCATCCAACACTCCAGCCACCCTGGGCTGATGGGTCTGCTTCCACAGGTTCTTACTACACATCCTGTCACAAATTCTCACAGCCACACGTGGGCCTGCTCAGCACTGCTGCTGGACTGGCTTGCCCAGTGCAGAAGCCCTCGGTACCATGGTACCATCCATTACTGTAACCTTCTCATTTTCCTGGCAATAAGATACTTTACAATCCAGACCCCTCTTCTTTCTTCTCCCCTTCTTCTCCCCCTCCTCCTCTTCTCCCATTCCACTTCCTCCCATTCTTTAGTGTGTTCTCATCCAATTTATGTTTCAAATCCCAGTCCAAGTGCATTTCCCGCCATTCACATCCTGGACACTGTATTCACAGTAGTGAAGGAATGTTCTGGGTGAAACACCCAACCCCTGTGAGCCATAGAACTCATCCCGTCTCTGAGGCCCAGTCCCAATGCTAGGATTCATGAACCCTTGTTCAGGCTCACTCAGAAGGATAAACATGGGTGCTCCTGAACGGCTGCCATCACACCATGGGTGCTCAGTGATATCTGTTTGTGTCTGCCTGGTGCCGTGCACCCTCACACCGTAGAAAGCGTGAGAAGCCCCTAGCCAGGTAGACACCACCTTCCACAGACCCATGCCCTGGTGATAGAGCCTTGGCCAAGGCTTCTTGCCCTGAGCTTCTCTTTGCTTCTCTGGAATGAGGAGAGCCTGCGGCCGTGCTTTGAGGCTGTGGTAGCCGTAATCAAGATCTTGTTTATAAAATTCCCTACTGCTGTGCAAAGGTGAAGCTAGCCGTTCTTCTTCAGGAGAGGTAGACCCACGTACGTACGTACGTACTAGCCGTTTTTATGCTTCCATGCCTTATGGGGCTCACTCATCAGTGTTTGTAAATGAGTGGCAGTGAATCAACCCCACATCCTCATTGTCCCCACACTTACATGGCTTGTCAGGTACACAGGGAAGGTTAGAATGATCAACACTGAGTTCATCTGCACTTCATATCAAAACCCAGATGTGGGCTGGGGAGATGGTTCAGTGAAGTGCTGGCCACCAAGCGTGAAGGCCTGAGCTCAGATGTCCACACCCACGTGGAAAGCTGGGCACGGCGGTGTGAGCCTGTGTCTCGCTGGCCA